TGGCTGCGTGTAATTGTCATCTCCCTTCTGAGGACCTTTCTTTTTTTTTTAAATAAATTTATTTAATTAAAAAATTTTTTTTGAGACCAAGTGAGGGAGGGGTAGAGAGGGGGTGAGAGAGAATCCCAAGCAGGCTCTGCACTAACAGTGCAGGGGCTCGAACTCACGAACCTTGAGATCATGACCTGAGCTGAAGTTGGGCACTTAACCAACTGAGCCACCCAGGTGCCCCTTGAGGGGACCTTCTTTTTTTTTCCCCCTTTATTATTATTTTTTAAAATTTATTTCTGAGACAGAGAGAGAGAGACAGCATGAGCAGGGGAGGGTCAGAGAGAGGGGGAGATACAGAATCTGAGACAGGCTCCCGGCTCTGAGCTGTCAGCACAGAGCCCAATGCGGGGCTCGAACCCACAAACCCTGAGATCATGACCTGAGCCGAAGTCGGATGCTTAACCGACTGAGCCACCCAGGCGCTCTGAGGGGACCTTCTTGAAGGGCCCGAGAGATGGCCCAAGTGGGGATTGGCTGCTTAGCACAATGGGGACCCACTTGGGACTCAAGAGAGTGATGTCCTCCTAGGCTGTGGCACCTAACGATTTTTAATAGGTCACTTGATAAGTTTTATTAAACAACCACTAGGCACCAGGCGCCGGGTAGAGTGGTGACCCCCTAAGTGTGCTCTCTTGCAGCTCTGGCCTTAGCAGGGGACACCTGAGCCTGTGGTGTGTCAGGGTGAGGGCCGCCGTGGAAGAGGGTGTAAAGTGCCAGGGTATCTCCTGGGTCCCTGGTGGTCAGGGTGGGCCTCCCAGCGGAGGTGTTTAGGGCCGAGACCTGAAGGAGATGAGGGAACAAGCCCTGGAGGGAGGGCAGAGCCTCTTTCTAGAAAGAGCCATAAGGGCATTCACTGTCCCCACAGTGAGGATGCGGGCAGGAAGACCCGTGGTGGGAGAGGGTGGCTGGCGCCTCCGGGTCAGCAGCACGAGTGCTGGACAAGGGCCCGGGTTATTACTTCACTCCTGGCTTGCGCCAGGCCCGGCCCTCCCCCCACCCCCAGGCTGTCCCTCCTCCCAGGGAAGGGCGTGGCTCCAGGGCCCGGTGGCAGTGGCCGGGTGTGTGGCTGTCAGTGCTGCAGCAGGGGCCAGGGACTGGCGGGACTGGACTGGTCGGGTCATCTGTGCACGAGCGAGGGCGGACTAGGAAACTGGCAGCCGGGCTGGGGACGGAGGGCCGTGGCTGCTGGGGATGAGCTCCGTCGTCCCAGACCCTGAGCTCAGCCTCAGGGCCTCCGATTTACTCTTTGAGGTGGGATCATTAAAAAATCAAAAATCTTTAGCGTTCCTGCAAATACAGGGCTGTGGAGCCCCCGGCAAAGCCCCTCCTGCCTGTTTCTCAGGGAGCCTGGCCCGGAGGCCGAAGTGACCCAGGGAGGCTTCCGTCCTTCTGCAGACGCCCTGGGCCCAGAGCATCCTTGGGGAATGGGGAAAGTGGCCAGTGCAGAGAGAGGGTGCAGGCGCGCGCTCTGCCCACTGCTGCCCCTGCCTGACTCCATCAGCACTGGGCCTGTATGGTCAAGAGGAGCTTGGGAAGGAAGGAAGGGGGGACGGGGGGAGAGAAAAAAACAGCAGGTGGCCTTGCCGGCCCCCGTCCCTGTCCAATCTTCCATATATACAGCTTGGTGGCCTTGGAGTTGGGCCCCCTTATAGAAGCTGAGGCAGGGACCGTGTTATCTTTCTGATAGTCATTCACTCACACGTGCAATTATTGAGCACTTCCAGAGGTATACTCAGAGGGATCCCCGGGGGCCCAGAGTGACTAGCGCAGATTCAGATCTCTGCCCTAGCAGGTGGACCTTCTCATAGGGAGCCAGGAAAATGCACAGGATGAGGAGGTCGGCGTTGTTAGAAGGTAGCCATGCTTGGAGGGTCATAAGGTGCAGAAAGAGGAAAGAGATTGGAGAGGTTTATCCTGTTGGGTGGGGGCCAGAGCTGGCCTCATGGAGACGGTGACACTTGAACAGACCTGAGGGAGGCTAGGGAAGGAGCCTGCAGGAAGAGAGAAGAGCCAGTGCAAAGGCCCTGAGGCAGAAGCCCAGAGTGGCTGGAGGAGAGTGAGTTGAAGTCAGAGCTGGGGATGTGGTTAGCTGGGGGCCATGGATGGCTCTGAGGAAACAAGGGCTGAGGTCTGGCTTTAAGAGGGTCAGTGGTGTGGGGGAAAGTGAAAGCAGGCTTTGTGGAAGCTTTTTAATGTTGATATGAACCCTGGAATCCAGCACACAGTTCAGAAGTGACCAGGAGCGCAGTAGAGTGGGCCGTGAGGGGGATGGGCCCAGAACGTATGGTTTCTGCTGCCTGTTGGGTCCCTGGGGAAGAAGCTGTGGTTTACTGGCACCGTCTGCACATCCTGCCCGTGAAGGAGTTGGTACAAGGGGAGGCCGCCACTGGGCTCCAGGGGCCATAGCCGGCAGGTCCTGGTCCCCACAAATATAGGCCCAGGGTGACCTGGCCCTGACCGGGGAGGAGCCCGGGATGCAGGATGATGTGTCAGGTGGCGTGGAGTTTAGGAAGGCTTCTCGGGGGAGGCAACAGGCAGGCTGGCCCTGGAGGAGGCGGAGCAGGTACCGAGTCTGGCAGAGCAGAGGGCCTGTGTCCTGGCCCCCAGTCCCTTCCCTGAGGCTGTGCTCCTGGAAGGGGTGTGGTTTCCGGTGGGTGCCTTGAGCCGGATGAGAACTGAGTTTTGCTGTGGGGGGTTGGGGGGCTGAGCCATTTATGGTGGCCCCTGCCGGAAGAGCAGTCAGGCGTTTCCTCTTGTCCCTGTGGAGGCTAGAGCGAGACTGTCCTTGGGAACTGGGTCAGCTGATGGGGGAGGAGCTGGGATCCCAGCTCCTCCAGCGAGTGTCCTCACAGCCCCTGTTCCCCAGGGGCCAGAGCCCATTGGGGGAAGTGGCGCTCGGTGATCTGAGCCCACAGAGTCCCCCTGACCTGAAGCAGAGAGGTTCAGAGAGGTTAACAGCCTGCCGGTGGCCTCACAAAGGCCACGTGGCTTGAGAGAGAGCCGCTACCTGGAGACATTATCTGAACTCCAAATCCCCGCTCCCCCACCAAGCTCGGGCCGAGTCGCTTCACCTCTCTGGGCCTCCGTTTCCACATCTGCAGTATGGACATCATGGAGATGCCTGCCTGCTAAGGTGCTCGCCCCACAGGGCTTGGCCAGAGCCGGTAGGGGCCGAATGTTGGCCGTGGGTTGTTAGGTTATTAGCTGGGATGGCGACCCTCTTTGCACTCACTTCTCTCTGCCTTGTGACGCGTCTGGGGAGAGAGTCTAGACCTGCTGGGCTTTCTCTGTCGTAGGGCTCCATCTCTGTCCTTTGTACCGAGGCAGCTGATGGTGTCAGTGCTGCGATTTGTGTAACCCAGTCTCCTCCTCCTGGAGGCGTGGGGGCGATCTCTAGTTCCTTACTCTTAGAGAGCTCACAGCTCTGTGCATCTTGGCCTGTCCGAAGTGGTCCAGGTCTAACTTTTTTTTTTTTTTAACTTTTATTCATTTTTGAGACAGAGACAGAGCATGAGCGGAGGGAGGGGCAGAGAGCGAGGGAGACACAGAATCCGAAGCAGCTCCAGGCTCTGAGCTGTCAGCAGCACAGAGCCCGACATGGGGACCCAAACTCACAAACCACGAGATCATGAACTGAGCCGAAGTTGGATGCTTAACCGACTGAGCCCCCCAGGCGCCCCCGTAGTGGTCCGGTTCTTTGGGCTGACTTCCATCCCCTCAGTATTCCTGCAGAGCCGTGGTGTCTGAGCCTGCAAGCCCCCTGCCTCCCCAGCATTTACTGTGAAAACACGCTCCTAGGGAAAAGATGAAGAATTGCACAGCGAACGCCTGTCGGCTTGGTACCTACACATCTGAGGATGAACACCTTTTATTCTTGCTTTTTTCTGTGTCTGATGGGGCCACCACTACTTGGTAGTCACTTACTTGTGGCCCGGACCCTTGGCATCAGTATGGCTTTTAGATACTCCAGGCTCAGAAGGCGTGAAGAGGGGCGCCTGGGTGGCTTAGTCGGTTAAGCGTCCGACTTTCGCTTAGGTCATGATCTCACGGTTCGTGGGTTCGAGCCCCGCGTCGGGCCCTGTGCTGACTGCCAGCTCAGAGCCTGGAGCCTGTTTCAGTCTGTGACTCCCTCTCTCTCTGACCCTCCCCTGCTCACGCTGTCTCTCTCTCTCTCCTAGAAATAAATAAAACATTAAAAAAAAAATTTTTTTAAAAACGAAGGCGTGAAGAGGCTCCTGTGTCCACATGGGACCCCGCCCAGAAAGCAATTCTCCTGAGGGGTTCACATCTAGGTGGGGGGCCCTGTGATCAGCCAGGAGATGAGGCGAGACAGTGAGACGGGCTTTAGTGAGGCCACAGCTCTCCATACTGTGCCACATGCCTTGGGGAGGAAGGACAGATGGGCCCCACGGACGTGCGGCCGGCTCCAGATCTGTTTAGGATGGGTGGCTTCTCTTTGACCCACAGCAAGGGAGGTTCTGACGTCAGGACTCAGGACTCAGACTCACGTCTAACAGCAAAGCGGAAGCTTCATCACGTGTGCACCCCCCGTGGTCCAGTGACACACGCTGGTATTTCCTCTTCTGTTCATCAAAAAAATCACAGATGCTGGTTACACCCACCTGTTGGGTTTTGTTTGTTTTGTTTTTCTCAGAGTTTATCACAGCGCATGATTTCACAAAATACCTCATGAGAGTTTCCGTCCCTCGGGGATAGGACCTTCCTTGCTGGTTTTGTTCCTTGAGGGGTTCAGGGTCTGGAAGGGGCCTCGGCCTGTAGGAGCGCCCCCCCCCCAGTACTCACTGCAAGAACGACTCTTGCACCCCAAATTCCTGGAGCACCTGTGACCGATGCTGCACTTCCCCTGCTTGCCCAGGCGCCTGTCCCAGGAGGCCATCTGCCCCCTTGCTGCTCTGTCCCCTTTCGAACATTCTTTCTTTCTTTTTCAGAATATGCCGAGTTTTTGCACTGTAAGTCCAAAAAGTTTACAGATTTTGATGAGGTCCGACAGGAGATCGAAGCGGAGACCGACAGGGTCACGGGGACCAACAAAGGCATCTCCCCAGTGCCCATCAACCTGCGGGTCTACTCGCCGCACGGTAGGCTGCACAGGCGCAGGCGCTTCGGGGCAGGGGCCAAGGGAGGTCGGGTCTGAAGCACTGTGACGAAAAATATGACCCCCTCCATTTTCCTTCACGCGCACGCAGCCCTCTTGATCTCTGTCTTCCCGCTTTCGGTAGGGACATGGTATTACAGGGAATCAGTCTCAGCTCTTAAGGAAGCACAGCATGCTGGGAAGACTGTTGGGGAGGGGGTGACCAGGGCCAGTTGCAGCCCTGCGCCTCTGAAGAAAGGCGTGGCCACAGTGTGGCTCCCAGGAGATGGCGGCCACAGAATGTGACACCAGCCCAGGGGAGCCGGGGCCTCTGGGTCTAGCAGCGGAGCCAGAAAGCCATTTTTCCCTGCAAAATGTTCTGATTTTTAAAACTCTGCCTCATTTACCCAGAGCAGCCTGCCATGCTGCACAGCTTCTGGCCCTGGGCCGTGAACTGCTAACTCACATGGCATTTGGGGCATATTCCAGCATACTCTTAACTCCTCAGTAGGAGTTCTCTGAGATGAATTTTGAAATTTACTCATTTTTGGTTAAATGATGCCTGTACATGGCTCAGATTACAAAAAGCTGTATAGCAAAAACCTGCCCTGCCCTCAGTGTTATAAATGTGTTTTATATTTTACTGCCTTAAGTAAATAATTATGAATATGTATGTGTGTGCCACGTGTGTGTCTTTCACCACTTTTACTCAAGTTGTAGCCTGCATAAAATGCCACTTTTTTTTTTTTAATTTTTTTTTTAATGTTTTATTTATTTCTAGGAGAGAGAGAGAGACAGTGTGAGCAGGGGAGGGTCAGAGAGAGAGGGAGTCACAGACCGAAACAGGCTTGGCTCCAGGCTCTGAGCTGGCAGTCAGCACAGAGCCCGATGCGGGGCTCAAACCCACAAACTGCGAGATCATGACCTAAGCGAAAGTCGGACGCTTAACCGACTAAGCCACCCAGGCGCCCCTAAAATGCCACTTTTTTGTATGAGTACAGCTCCCAAGTGTGTCTCTTATCAGAGTATCATCTTTTTGTTTTTTATGGTAAAGATTGGTGAACGACGGCCTTTGGTCATGGCTGAATTGATAGGCGCAAGTTTACTTAGCCCCAGAGAGAAGTTCTAGCCTTCTAGTGCAAACGTCCCGATTTAAAACTGCACTTAAATAGTGCAAAAGAGAGGGGCTGCCTGTGGGAGGGGGCCCTGGAAGAGGAGCTGCTGGATCAAAGGGTGTGATCTGGTTGGAGGACCGGGAATCCTGTGGTCCGGACCTGCCCACTCCCCCCACCTCCCTGCCCAGGACTTGGAGAAGTGGGCTGGGTAGCCGTGCCTCCCTTCCTCTATCTCTGATGACCTTTCTCTCTGGCTTCCCTACCAGTGTTGAACCTGACCCTCATCGACCTCCCGGGCATCACCAAGGTGCCCGTGGGGGACCAGCCCCCAGATATCGAGTACCAGATCAAGGACATGATCCTGCAGTTCATCAGCCGGGAGAGCAGCCTCATCCTTGCCGTCACCCCTGCCAACATGGACCTGGCCAACTCGGACGCCCTCAAGCTGGCCAAGGAGGTCGACCCCCAAGGTGACTGCTGAGCCCCCACAGTAGGAGGTCCCCTCCTGCGTGCCTGGGAGCATGGCGACTGCCCCGCATCCTGGGTTCCAAGCCACTAATGTAACCCCCCCCGCCCGCCGCCATCACATCCCTCTGCCCCACTCTCTCTGCCCCTCCCCGCCCTCCCTGGCAAACTTGGTGGGGAGTATTCACGGCCGTGGCTCCTTTGACCTCCAGAAAGGCAATGCCATCTCCCACGCTCACAGCCGAGTGTGAGCGGGCAGGGGCATCAGGGAGCACATGGCTGGGCTCACTGCCCCCCCCCCCCCAGCACCCTCTGGAGATCTCCCCGGGCCTCCCGCATGTCACACGTGCCTAGATGTCCACGCACGCGCTAGCGCGGAGGGCCCCCTTGGGCACCGGCGGGGTCGCTGATCTGTAGGCGTACAGCTCTGCTGGGAGGGGTCCCTTAGTTCTAGGTGACTGGAGACAGGAGGAATCCTGTGGGGTGGTGTCCAGAGCGGAATTTTGGCCATTCAGGTGAAAGGGGACCCTAGAAACCATCGCCGTGGGTTTGCGTATCATGTTGGGACCTTGCAGGTGACTCAGCACAGCACAGAGACTGACCCGGGACTTGGGTTTCCGGGAGGTTTTCCTGACACTGCAGCCACAAGGCGCTGTCGCAGATCATGGGAATGACCATGACGGTGGCCAGTGTTTACTGATCGAGCATTTGTCACAAGCCACGTGTGTCTCCATGGACCGCCCACTAAGATCAGTGTGGCTGTTGGCTTCGCTTGGCATGAGGGAAACTGGGGTTCAGGCAGGTGACGTTATGGCTTGTCCCAGGTCTCACGGCCTGGAGGTGGGGACCCCCAGGTTGCCAGCCCAGACTCGTTTCTCACGGCATCCTGTGACCTCTGGGCTCTTTCAGGCCTGCGGACCATCGGCGTCATCACCAAACTCGACCTGATGGACGAAGGCACTGACGCCAGGGACGTCCTGGAAAACAAGCTTCTCCCCTTGAGAAGAGGTGCGGCTGGGCAGGGACAGGGGCCACAGGGCGGAGCAGCTGGACATACATTCAGATGGTGTTTGTTTTCGTCCTTATCATTACTGAAACCTGGGCAGATGCCAGGAAGTACACACAGATAAACCCTCAGTATTGCCTGCTTCCCCGTCGCCCAGAGTGACTGCTTTTCCATCTCAGTACAAGCCCTTCTGTCTTCACGCCTCCTCGTACATGTCTTTTTCCTGTGATGTGTATACGTTCGCTTTCCAGTTACATGGTTAACACCTGCTCACTTGGGGAGCATAAAGAAGCCTACAGAGAAAGGAAACCAAAGTCATCCCCACCCCAGCCTCTCTCACTAATTCATACTTGGTGGCTTTCCTCCCAAAAAGTTCCTTAGGATCCGTAATTTCTATTAATTTTCATGCTTGCTTTCTATAATGAGCATTTTTAAACCTTTTTTTTTTTTAATGTTTATTTTTGAGAGAGAGAGAGAGAATGGAGGAGGGGCAGAGAGAGGGAGACAGAATCGGAAGCAGGCTCTAGGCTCTGAGCTGTCAGCACAGAGCCCGATGCGGGGCTCAAACTCGTGAACCCTGAGATCATGACCTGAGCTGACGTCGGATGCTTAACTGACTGAGCCACCCAGGCGCTCTGTTGTTGTTTTAAGCCATTTCTTTCTTATTTTTAAAAATTTTATTTATTTTAAATATTTATTTTTGAAAGAGACAGTGTGCGCACACGCATTGGCAGGGGGAGGACAGAGAGAGAAGGGGACAGAGGATCTGAAGCGGGCTCCGTGCTGGCAGCAGAGAGCCCGACACGGGGCTTGAACCTGCAAACAGAGATCACGACTTGAGCTGAAGTCAGATGCTTAACGACTGAGCCACCCAGGTGCCCCCACACCATTTCTTTCTTAACGGCTTCCCTTCTGTGCCTCATTCCTTCTCTCTGGAGTCTGCTGTCAGCTCCGGGCCCCTTCTGGGCCAGTGGTGTGGCCAGCACCATTTAGATCTTCCCTTTTGCCCCTGGGCATTCCCTCCTCCAGTCGGGGACAGGCTTGGTTTCCCTGCCCCCAGCCCTGCTGAGACACCAAGTAACGAGACATGGGTCCCAGATGAGGAACGTGGTCAGGGCAAAGCCCACACTCCCGTTTAGTGGCCAGGGTCACGGGCCGAAGAGGGAGTCCATGTCGGGAGGTTTAGGAAGGAAGGGTTGGCGCTGAATCTGGAAGCAGACCCCTCATGTCATCACACCCTCTCCCATCCCCCCACCCCCACCCCTGCTCATTCCACACGTACTGGGCCCAAATCTTGGCCCCCAAGGGGTGCTGCCTGGGCTCAGCATCGCCGCCGGGGGGCCGGTGACACAGGCCTCGGCTTCCTTCCTGCCCACTCCCCGCTGTCACCATCTGCCCTCCTCTGCCTTCCTGTCCGTGTCCCAGGAGGTGAGCCCCTCCCCTCCCGGCCCTGACCACCTGCTCCTGACTTGCGCCCACAGGCCTCCCTCCCCGACTGCTCCCCTGTGCCCTGTGGCCTTAGAATCTCTCTCTCGGTTTCCCAAAGGCTCTGAACTGCCGCACCTTCAGGAACCAAAATCCAAGCCAGACCGCTCCCTGCTGTTTGCGTGCTTGCTGTCGCGTGGATGGTGGCGAGCTTGGGTCCTCTCAGGCCTGGGTTCACCTCTTGATTCTCCTGTGGTGCCTCTCCGTGACCTCCCCTCACTCACTTCCCCTCCTCTGTGACATGGACGTAATGACAAATGCAGAGAGGACGAAGGTTTCTGAGTGTGGACTGTGGCTTGTGGCCCAGTCTGTGCGCGGCCTGTGGCACAGGGTCCCTGTCTGCCTGTACCTGGCGCAGCCCCGCACCTGATACACGGTGGGTGTCCGGGCACTTCGGCTCACCTGGCCCTGCCCCTGCGCCCCTCTCCCCCGCAGGCTACATCGGTGTGGTGAACCGCAGCCAGAAGGACATTGAGGGCAAGAAGGACATCCGCACGGCGCTGGCGGCCGAGAGGAAGTTCTTCCTCTCCCACCCTGCCTACCGGCACATGGCTGACCGCATGGGGACCCCCCACCTGCAGAAGACCCTGAACCAGGTACGACCAGGAGTTTGTGCCGGGGCGGGTCCACAGTGGTGCTGGCCTTGGTCTAGAGCCAGCGCTTGTTTTAGCAAAGCGAGCTCAGTCCACATTTGCTTCAGGGCCTGGGGAAGCGTGGGCCCTCAGTAAGTCGGTGCCGGCTCTCTTGCCGGTGCTGTTACTTTAAGTACCACCAGAAGGGTCTGGTCCCGTGCCCTGATGCTTGCGTAGGTTACACACGCTTGGCCTGCCCCAAGGCAGGGCGGCCGGGAGTGGTGGCCAGGACCTCCCCAGGAGCACTGTAGAGCCTGACCTTCTTGGGTCCAGAGCCCACCCCACCTCTGACTGGGTGACCCGGCCTCTCTGAGCCTCCGGCCTCTGTTCCTCAGTTGCGCACCGACACCATCGCTGCCCCCAAGGGTGCTGGCATCCGCTTCGTGCCCAGCAGGCACGTTTTGTGAAACGCAGTGAGAGTCGGATACCAGCATTGCACTTTCTACTGCTCTGGGTTTGTTTGTTTTTTTACAGGGAATGTATTCATACCCGGTTTATAAACAATACGGGTATCGATAAACGTGCAGCGAGGCGCCCCCATCTGCCCCTCCCTTCCGCCCTGGCCGGCTACTGTCAGCACGGCTACGTCTCTTTCTGTCCGCAGAAGCAAAGAGGACTTTCGAGAATCCCATTTCTCCCTTTCTGGCCACGAACGACGCCATGAGCTCCCCCACCCCTTGCTTCTGAGGGGGTTTTGCTCAGCAGCCTCCTGAGGGGGCCGTGCAGGAAAGAACCCTGCTCACTCTCTGTTGCGGCCACAGAGCGCGCTCTGAACAGGCCCGCTCATCTTCTCATCTCCCTGGTCTGTAAAGGCTGCCGTCACTGACACGCTCAGGACATTTGATGCACGTGTCGATTTCTCTGGCGAGCAGGGTCCCTGACGGGGGCTCACTGTAACGGGCGGCCTGTGCGCAGGGTCTGTCCTGGTTTGCCCACCCAGCGCAGCAGGACCCCCCACCTCCTTAAGACTTTATGGCAGCTTCCTGGAAGGTGGGCAGGGACCAGAGCCACAGCGAGGCGTTTCTTCGCGTGTGCAGTGGGGTCGCAGCGGCAACACAAGAGCCGGGCTTTCCTCGGGGAAGGCATTTTTCTAACGGGGGCAGGGAGGGGACAGACTCGGGACAAGTCACCACATCCCTGCACTGTCCGGCGTTAGTCATGGGGCCACGAAAAGCCGGTGCAGGCCAGGAAGGCAGAGAAGGCGGCTCAGCGGGGGCACAGAGGAAAGTGAGCATCCGCTGGGGCAGGAGAGGAGAGGGAGTAGTGGGCCCCGGCAGGGGGGCAGAGGGAGAGCAAAGGAGGGACAGGGGACTCCTGTGGGAGCGGGGGTTGGTGGGGGGGGCCGGCTGGGACACAGCTCTGCCCTGGGGCACTTCCTGGGAGCCCTGCGAAACCAGGCAGCTCTCGCGCTCTGGGACTTGGTTGGATGCCGGAGGGAAGGTGTGCAGAGCGCATGGCCTACGTCCCCACCCCGGGCGGCCCACAGCTCCCACAGGGGGTCTGGGGCAGTGCCCTGGCCCCCCCGGGGGGTGCCGGAAGGGCCCTCACATGCCTGGCACAAGAGTGTGCTTTTTTCTCGCTCAAGGGATACTTTGTAAACACTTTCCTGTTGTGGGACAGATGACAGCAAAATGCCCCTTCCCACTTTCAGGGTACTAGCTGCTCCTATGGCTTTTGTTCTGTTCCCTCCCTCTCTGTCTCTCCTTCTCTCTTTTGTTATAGTTACAAAAAACAAAAAAGTCCTAGAGCCCAAATATAGTGAATATTCCATTTCTTCCCACCTGGTGGTGGGTCCCTACCCAGGAGTAACTGGGCTTCCTTCTACAGACAGTCAGGGCCTGGAGAGGCCACTGTGCTGTGTCTTCCTCCCCTCTCCCCTGGCTCCCCCTCCTCCCTGTCCCTCCCACCCCTTCCTCCCTGTCCTTCTCCATCTGCCTCCCTCCCTACTCCCCTCCCTCTCCCCACCTGTCCCTCTTCCACCTCCCTCCTCCTCCCCTCCCCCCTTCCTTTGCTTTCCCTTCCCTTTTCTTCTTTTGCTACCTGAACAGCCGTGTATCTGTGCACCGTTCTCTCCCCACGCATCCCGAGGCTCTCTCAGCTTTCCTGCAGGGCCGCTTTCTTTTACAATTTACAGTCACAGTTTGTGACTGCTTATTAGACCCACGAGATTCAGAAGCAGAGCGGGAGAGAGGGGGCCGCAGAGGTCCCCCTTCCCGCCCGCCTGCCCATTCCGGCCTGCCTTCTGCATTTGTTTCCTGTGAAGCTTCCTTCTCTCTGTCCACGCGACTAAAAATACGTTCTCACTTTCTCTCCGTCTTCCACACAAGGGAGCACGTCCCGCGGACGGTCCGTGCCTTCACAGGGGGGCTGTTTCTGTCTTAGTTCGTGGGGCCTGGTCCCGTGTCCATACAGCTGCCCGTGGTCCTGGGGCCCACGAGCCAGTCCTCCAGAATGTGGGGCCATCGGTGGCCCCCCAGACCTCTCACCGGAGCCCCTGTGGAAGGCTGTCCTGGGTCAGCGCGTGTACCCCGTGTCACCCCTGTACACCCCCGGGTCGGTGTACCCTTGGCCTGGACACCTGGTGACCTGCCCTGCGGGCCCAGCGGGCCCCTCACACCTCCCTGCCCGGGCGCTGGTGTGACTCCGGCTGGATGTTCCTGTCGCTTCCCCTCGAGGCTGGGGGTGCACCGGGCACAGGTCGCCCTCTCGACCTCAGCCCTTGGCCCGCATGGCAGGCCTGCCCCTTCCCGGCGTCCTGCCTGTGCTGACCTCTGGCCTCTTCCTGTCCCGCAGCAACTGACCAACCACATCCGGGAGTCCCTGCCGGCCCTGCGCAGCAAGCTTCAGAGCCAGCTGCTGTCCCTGGAGAAGGAGGTGGAGGAGTACAAGAACTTCCGGCCGGATGACCCCACGCGCAAGACCAAAGCCTTGCTTCAGTATGTGTGTCCCCCACACCACCCGCCACCGCCTGGCCGGCCGCGGGGTCCCGGGTCTGGGCTGCGTGCTGATCCGCGTCTTTCCAGTCACTTAGCAAATGTCTGTGGGCCAGGCGTTGTCCTGAGCCCTGGGGCAGCCACCGTGAATGGGGCAGCCAGCTCACCCTGCCCCCACGTGCTCAGGGAGCGGAGAGGGGAGGGATGGGACGGCAAATAAGTAAATAAGAGAACGACTAGTGATGTGGGAAAGGGGCTTGGGTGCCAGGATGGGCCTGGAGTAGGTTGCCATTTAAAATAGAGCAGTTAGGGGGCGCCTGGGTGGCTCAGTCGGTTAAGCATCCGACTTCGACTCGGGTCATGATCTCATGGTTCATGGGTTTGAGCCCCGCGTCGGGCTCTGTGCTGACAGCTAGCTCAGAGCCTGCAACCTGTCTTCGGATTCTGTGTCTCCCTCTCTCTCTGGCCCTCCCCTGTTCATGCTGTCTCTATCTCTCTCTCAAAAGTAAATAAAACTTTTTTAAAAATAATAAAATAGAGCAGTCAGGAAGGCCGCCCTGAGACAGCAAGAGTCAGGCAAGGATGGGGCCCGGCCAGTGCAAAGGTCCTGAGGCAGGATGGTACCCTGCAGTGTTGGAGGAAGCTGTGTGGCAGAACAGAATGAGTGAGGGTAGAGTGTGAATGAGGGGTCAATCAGAGGAGAGGAGGGCAGGGACCGGACAGGGCAGAGCCCTCAGGTCTTCATGGGCCCTGAGAGGAATCAGGCTCTTGTCAGTACTGTCAGTAAGGCGGGAGCCAGGAAGGTTCTGAGCAGAGGAGGGATGGGCCGATTCAGGTGTTGACAGGCGCCCTCTGGTGGCTGTGGGAAGGACAGACATGGGGGGACTGGGCTGGGAGCCTGGCCCTGCGTCAGCTTTTTCTGCTCTCTCTTGGGATTCTCACCCTGACCCCAAGTCAGTGCTCACCGGCCCAGCTCAGAGCTGAGGGGACTCTTGGGAGCCACCCAGCTGTGAGGTGGGGAGAGAACCCACCGTCCCAGGTTCTCTCTTGAGGCTTCTGCCTCCGCACCCCTGGCTTCCGGCCTACAAGGCACCCTGGGCGCTTGGCCAGAGTGGGATCCAGAAACTCCCTGGCAGCTCATGCGGCAGATGGTCCCACACATACGACTCCTCCCAGGGACACACCAGCGGGACACCACCTGCGGTGGCCAACCCAACCCTGCTGTCCCCCCTTCCTCTCTGCCATGCAGCCCTGCATGGTGGCCTCGGGGGTGAGAATGCTTCGATGCTCAGCCTTAACACTGTTCACCTCTCGTGGGGCAAAAGCTTCTTGGGATCTGAGACATGCTGCCCCTCCCCCCACCCCACCCCTGCCAGGTATTCGGGGAGAGCCCTTCATTCATCGGCCGCCGGGCCTCTGGCCGCCACCAGAGGGGCGGGGATCTGCCCATGAGAGCTGGACATCATCTCCTCACTAGCGAGCAGCTCGGTGCTGCAGGCCAAGCAGGGACTGGTCCCTCGGCCGCAGCAGCTCCTGCTCAGGGCAGACTGTGTGCAGCACTTGAGATCAAGAATTTGGAGGTGGAGGGGCGCCTGGGTGGCATAGTTGGTTAAGTGTCCGACTTTCGCTTAGGTCATGACTCGCGGTTCGTGGGTTCAAGCCCCGCGTCGGGCTCTGTGCTGACTGCCAGCTCAGAGCCTGGAGCCTGTTTCGCAGTCTGTGTCTCCCTCTCTCTCTGACCCTCCCCTGCTCACGCTGTCTCTCTCTCTGTCTCCTAGAAATAAATAAAAAATATTTTATTTTATTTTATTTTATTTTTTATTTATTTATTTTTTTAAATATTTTTTTAATTTTATTTCTAGGAGAGAGAGAGAAAGAGACAGCGTGAGCAGGGGAGGGTCAGAGAGAGAGGGAATCACAGACTCTGAAACAGGCTCCAGGCTCTGAGCTGGCAGTCAGCACAGAGCCCGACGCGGGGCTAGAACCCACGAACTGCAAGATCATGACCCAAGCGAAAGTCGGACGCTTAACCGACTGAGCCACCCAGGCGCCCCTAAAAAATATTTTAAAAACACAAAACAAAACAAGTCAAAACAGTGGGTGCCTGGGTGGCTCAGTAGGTTAAATGTCCAACTTTGGCCCAAGTCATGATCTCACGGTTTGTGGATTCAAGCCCCACGTTGGGCTCTGTGCTGACAGCTCAGAGCCTGGAGCCTGCTTCCGATTCTGTGTCTCCCTCTCTCTCTGCTCCTCACTCACTCTCTGTCTCTCTCTCAAAAATAAACAAACATTAAAAATATTGAAACATTTTCACTTCCCTGAATTCAGAAGTTTTAGGTGAATTACCATTAATTGGCTGCGTTCTTTCTTTTCCGGGGGTGGGGTACCGACGAATAGTGCTCCTTAGGCTTGGTGATTTCTTGGAGCGGGTAAAAACTAGAAACTCCTTGAATCCTCACAATGACCCTTTGCGGGGACGTACCATGCAGCTGAAGAAACTGAGGCCCAGAGGGGCAGAGCCACTTGTCCAAAGCATCGCAGCACTCCTTGTCGGAATCCCCCTGAGTTGTGTGGAGGCCACAGTGCTGCTGGATCAGGGCAGACGTTGCCAAGCTGTGACCCTACCCACCCCCGCCCTCACTCTTGCTGTCTGCAAAATGGGAATAATCCATGCACACACACACACCCCCCAGTTCAGTGAATGAATAACCCTAGCGGGCCTGGCAGATTGTGACTGCTGCCTTCGGCAGTCCCATATTTCACTCGTTTTGCACGCATCTTGGCTGCTAAAAAGTGACAAGGAGGGCATAAGCCACAGCTTGACTCGGCACATGATTCCGGGTCAGAACCCACCCCCTCTGACATTCGGGTTTTCTTTTTCCCTGTAGGATGGTCCAGCAGTTCGGGGTGGACTTCGAAAAGAGGATCGAAGGCTCTGGAGACCAAGTGGACACGCTGGAGCTCTCCGGGGGCGCCCGAATCAACCGCATCTTCCACGAGCGCTTTCCCTTTGAGCTGGTGAAGGTAGCGCCAAAGGGCTGGGCCCTCCTGACTAGGTCAGGCCCCTTCTGCATAGCCTCGGGCCGGGCCTCCTCCCTCCTGCCCCCAGGCCTCTGCCTGCTGGGAGCAGAGGTGGGGGCTCTGTCCCCCTTCAAGCCCTCTTTTCCTGAGCCAAGAGCTTAGAGGTGTCCGAAAGACCCGAGTGAAAGTTCCATTTTTTTCTGCTCTGACAAAAACCAATACACGTCCTTTGCAAAAATATGTAGAAAACAAGTGAATTCTCCTAGGGAAATGTCCCCATCGTATCCATGGGAAAATTAAGCCGGTCAAGGAGCCGGAATGTGCAGCAAAGCATATAGATAATACTTTCCGTGTCCTTCCACGCGAGGGGGCGTGCCCAGGTGTGTGCCTTTGCCTAGACCCAGCCGCAGAGATGTGCACAAAACCGTCAGCTCTGGGCACTGGGATTTGAGAGTGATTTTGTTACTTGGCTTGAAGCTGTACGCTTTCCACCTCGAGCATGTACCATTTTGGTAAAAACCCGCAAAGTTCTTTTCGATTAAAGAACAACAGCTAATGGTGAGAAAAGCACCCATAATCCCACCACCCGCAGACAGCCTCTGTTAGCACCTGGGTGTCTGTCCTTTCCCGAAGATTTCTCTGCAAGTGGGTACGTGCCCAACATATACGAACACAGCATGTATACTCAGCTGTACCAAGTTAATATGTCTTTGTACCTTGTTTTTTCATATGGTGGTCATCTTTCCAAGCCAGTTATGTGTAGTTCATGTGTTGTTAATGACACAGAAGTGTCTCAGCTTGTGGGCGACCCATTAGCTGTTGAGCCAGCCTCCCGCCATCGGACATTTAGGTGGTTTTCACATTCGCCAGCAGTTACGAATAGGCCTATAAACGTAACTAATCCTTACTAGTTCCTCAAGGTAGATTTCTAGAATGCTTAAAACTACCTGAAGGTATAGTTGTATAGTTGTGTGTCTGGAAGTCCTTGACTGGCACTGCCACGTAGCCCATAAGAAAGTTCACGTGAACTCATGTTCCCTCTGAGAGCGAGCGAGAGTGTTCATATCAAACCATCCTTGCTGAAAGTGGGTTTTAATGTTTTGAAGAATTTTGACCAGTGCAGTGGTCTGCTGTGTGAAAACAGACACACACAGGACATAACGGTCCCCAAATACGCACCTGTTGTGGGGGTGCCGCGGGCACTTCCTAGCATGTGAGTGAGTTGTCTGCTCTCAGATGGAGTTCGACGAGAAGGATTTACGGCGCGAGATCAGCTACGCCATTAAGAACATCCACGGAGTCAGGCAAGTTCTGAGGGGAGAGTTGCCAGGTTCCTTTCGCCTCTGCGGCACCATCCTTGGACCTCCATCCCTCTGGGTGCCCTGACTGGGAGGCCTTGGGCGGGCCCCTGGGTGGTTCTCAGTAGCTTTATGTCTCTCCCTGTGGGTCTCCGAGGGCACTCGAGGGCAGGTATGCAGTCTTATGTGGCGCTCTCGAGGCCGTGGGGCCATCTGCTGCCCTCGGATTGCCCGTAGGTCCCACCAGCCAGCTGGCATGAGCCCAGCTCCAAAAGCTCGCTGTAGATTTGCCCCTGGGGGTTCGGGGGAGCCAGAGCTGAGTCACGATTACAGGAACCCAGCGTGTGTCCCCATCACAGGGCTCCCGTGAGACTCCTGGGTCCCCTCCACTAGCGAATGAAAGAATTCCCTCTGGCTGTCCAGTCTTCCGTCACCGTGGGGTCCTCAGGTCACCCCGTGGGTTTCCAGGCAGTGGACGCAGGCGTCTGGCCCCCAGACTCGCTGTGACCTTGGCTCAATCTCGGGAACCTGGGCCATGCCTATGAAATTGCTGACCGTGCTTTGTTTCTCTCTGACTTATCTCCCCTGCCCCCGGGTACGGATGGTTTTAGGACCGGGCTCTTCACCCCGGACTTGGCATTCGAGGCCATTGTGAAAAAGCAGGTCGTCAAGCTGAAAGAGCCCTGTCTGAAATGTGTCGACCTGGTTATCCAGGAGCTAATCAATACAGTTAGGCAGTGTACCAGTAAGGTATCGGGCCCTCGGCAGGGTGAATCCTGGCCTTGTGGACGCGGGGGTTTGGGGGTTTGGTATCAGGCTCCCGGTGCTGCTCCAGCCTTTGCCCCACTGGTGCCCTTTCCCCCCAGATTGCCTCAGTTTCCAAGAATGTGGCCTCTCCCCAGGGGCCGGGGCGGGGGCGTGTTGGCCTGGGCGCAATGTGTGTGTGTATGGGTTTGGGGGGTGCGCCCCAGGCCTCCAGAACTGGCCAGACTGGTGGGCAGGGCTCCCCGGGACCCTGATATCAAGCCTAGCATGTGTCTGATGGAATCGGGGGTTTCGTTGGGCTGTCGCTTTGCTGCCTTCTGGGAAGCAGAGAGGGACCCCGTGTCAGGTGTCGGAGGCCAGGCCCCCTGAACGAACCTCCCCTGGCCGTCACCCCCTTCTCAACAAACGCTGGGCGCCCTCGGGCTTTCCTGGAGCCAGCCACTTCTCTGACCCCACGGCACTAAGTACGACCCGGATGCTAACAGCATAATGGGGCTAGGGTGCCCAGCTCGGCTCCTAACTGCCTCCACCAAGCCCCCCCCAATCCCTCCAGGAACGGAGCTGTCCCCCCCGCCCAGGCAGTTCGTCCTCTGAGCCACTAGGTCACAGGCACCCGTGTGCCAGTGTTCACGGGCCACTGTCTCCACGCGCTGGCCAGGCCCTGGAGTCCTGCCCAGTGGGCGTCCGTGCTTGCACGCCACCGTGGCTGCAGAGCCCTGGGTCGGTCCTTCACGGCAGAGAAACTGCTTGAGCCTTCTGTCTCGGTCTGGAAAAGCCCACATTTGCTTCTTAAGCTTCTTCGATTAGAAAAGGGAGAGAGAGAGAGAGAAACCTAGATGGGGTAGAAATGATCCTCCCGGAGCGCACTGTCACAGATGTGAAAATTCAAGGCCTCCACGTTCCCTTAGCATCTGAATCGTGACGCTGTCCCCTAGCGCTTCCGGAACGAAAGCCCAGAGCAAGCCCCACCCTCTCCTCTGAGCCAGGAGTCCTCTATGATCCGAAGCAGCTTCCGGGGCAAATGCGGGCACAGCCTCCTACCTGCATGTCACTAACCAGCTGACTCTCCTCTCTTCTCTTTCTCCGTCTCCCGTCCCGCGTGTGTGGCCTGCACTGTCCCTGGGTGTCTTTCTGCCTCGTCCCACCCTCCGCATGACCCAGGACGGGGCTCTTCACCCCCGACATGGCCTTTGAAGCCATTGTGAAAAAACAGATTGTAAAACTCAAAGAGCCGAGTTTGAAGTGTGTTGATCTCGTGGTCTCAGAACTGGCCACGGTCATTAAAAAGTGCGCCGAGAAGGTAACGGAAGGTTTCGTTGTTACCACCTGCGCATCTGTCCCGCATCTGCTCCCCCTACCCACGTCAGTCTTCACCCGTGCGTCTGGAAACTCTGCCTCAGCAGGAACCCCCTTCTGCAGACAAACTGGGGGGAGTTGGCGGTGCTTGGCTGGTCCACGCTCCCAGTCTGGGCTCAGGCGGGGACGGGAGGCCTGCGGTGTGGCCAGGCGCCTTCACTCAGCAGGCCGTGGGGACCGGCGGATGTGCCTGTTCCTGGAACCCATAGGGAAGGCGGGGGGGGGGGGTCTCCAAACCGTCGCCGCAGGTGGAATGCTGTCAGCGCTCAGACCTGCGTCTTCGTAATGTCAGGGGGCGTTTGAGAGGCTTTCCGCTAGTGATTTGGAGCGCCCACTCCGTTTTCCCCGTCATGGGGACTTCGCCCAAACCTCGGAAGGTGGGCCTCTCTCTGCCTTTGGTTTGGTTATGACCGGGAAGTGGTTTTCTGCAAGGGGGTCCCTCTGAGGCAGATGCCCAGATGCCTAGAACAGGCGCTACTCACTCACGAGCCGGCCGAGAGTTCCCACCCCGTGGGCCCGGTGGCCTTCATTATACTCGGGGTCCTTGCTCTCACCCAGTGCTGGGCGGAGGGGGCGCCCATCGCTGCCGGGCTGCAGACACACAGCGGCCTTTCTCTGCCACTTTCCGCCTTGGAATCCATTCTCGAAAAGCACCTCTGCTCGTGCGTGGGCACCCTGTCACTCTCTCGGGCACACCGTGCCCCCACCGTCCCCTCCTCGTCTCCCAGCTGGAGCAGCTATGAGACAGGACGGGGGTGGGGGCTCGGTGGGCCCACCCCTTGTCACCCCCCTCCCCCACATTCTCTGTGTGGTTCGTGTCACTTCTGGTGCCGTGAGGACCCAGCCAACGCCACCGCTCTGCTCTCCCGCAGCTCAGCTCCTACCCCCGCTTGCGAGAAGAGACGGAGCGAATCGTCACCACCTACATCCGGGAACGGGAGGGGAGAACCAAGGACCAGGTATTGGCTTTTTGTTTTATTTTCCAGGTGTCATTTATTCGCATAAATCTTTTTTTTTTCTAATTAAAAAAATTTTTATGCACTTAAATCTTGAGTATACTTTCCTTTGAGTAATGACAGGTGCATTAAACAAGGTAAGCTTCCCCCTCCCCGCCCCTCCCGCCCCAGCAAGATGCAGAACCATTCTGTGGCCCTCAGAATTCCCCTCCTCGCCCCTCCCCAGCCCCCGGGCCCCAGCAGCAACCAGTCCACTCCCTGTTCCCTAAGTTTTGCCTTTTCCAGAATGTCACTCGGGAGGACTTCCGTCACATGTAGCCCCGGAGTCCGACACTGGGTGTAGCGCGTTCGGGATTCATCCCTGTCATTCGTGGTGTCTGCGGGGTTTGTTGATGGCGATCGCTGAGTGGGGTTCCCTCGTGCGTGTGGACCACAGCTTGTTTTACCTGCTCGCGCTCCTGACAACACGTGGGTGCCTTTCACATAATGGTGTCTCGTGAAGGCCAAGCGCACAGGAGGATAGAAAGTGGCCCCCACCCCCAGCACCTGTCGCGCGCTGAGTGGCCCGAGGCCGGCTGCGCGTGGCTTCGCCCCAGGTGGCCCCTGCGGTCTCTGGTCAGGTGCTTGTCCAAACCAGAACCAGCACAAGTCGGGGCGCCTGGGTGGCTTAGTCGGTTAAGCGTCCGACTTTCGCTTAGGTCATGATCTCGTGGTTCGTGGGTTCGAGCCCCGCGTCGGGCTCTGTGCTGACTGCCAGCTCAGAGCCTGGAGCCTGTTTCAGCCTGTGACTCCCTCTCTCTCTGACCCTCCCCTGCTCATGCTGTCTCTCTCTCTCCTAGAAATAAATAAAACATTAAAAAAATTAAAAAAAAAAAAAAAAAAAGAACCAGCACAAGTCTCCATGCTGTGTGTGGTGGCGGTACCGCCACGTTGTGCCCAGAAGTGGAGCAAAAGTGGACTCCCGTGTGGCTTCCGTGGCCTGCAAGTTGTAGCAAAAGCTTCAAAGAGTCCATTGAATTTTGTTGTTTTCGGGAACGTTGCTGTCCCTTCCACGTGCCCATTTGGCCCACTGCCAGCACTTCCGGGCTCCATCCCGGGGCTCTGGCCGATGGGGCTCAGGTCTTACCCGCAGCGCTGGCTCCCATGGACCAAGCACCCCAGCATTTTCCAGCAGCCCCACAAAGTCCAGGTGCCTGGCATGTTTGACGCTGGAGGGCTCAGAGGCACAGCGACATGCCAGGAAGGGGCAGGGTATTGTGTGAAGGCCTGTCCCTTACCTGAGATGCCACCCTGACTGGCTCCCACTGGCCTCTGTGTGGGGGTTTCATCCTAACGCCCTTTCCTGGACCCGTTGCCTTTGCTGTTTGAAGGCAGCACTTAGAACACTCCAGGCGCTACTGTAAACACTTCACGCGTCGGGAATTACTTATCCCTATGCAGTGGGGCCTCCTGTTGCCCCTTTCCACCTTCCACCGTCCAGAAAGGTGAGGCCAGGGGTCACAGAGCCAGGCAGCGCCCCGGTGAGATGGCAGCCCAGGTGGTCACCGCCCCACGGCTGCCTCCCTCTGTGCTGTTGGCCCAGGCTTTCTTCCTTGTGAGGCCCTGAAGTTTCCAAGTGCCTATGCCCCTCCTCCCCCTACAGATTTACCCCATAGTTCGAGTTGGAGGGGTGCGCGTTGTCCCAGGTGTGGGGCCTGGGAAGCCGTATAGTTCCAGCTCCCCCTGCTGGCAGGCTTGGGAAGTGTTCTAGCCACTGCCAACCCCGCCAAGCTCCTCCGCTCTGTACTCACAGTTCCCTCCTTCTTCCAGATTCTTCTTCTGATCGACATTGAGCAGTCCTATATCAACACGAACCACGAGGACTTTATCGGATTTGCCAAGTATGTACTTTTCAGGACAGCATCTGGTGGGGGGCACCCATGCCTGCCCTCAGAGCCAGGCCCTGAGGGGGGTGGTTGGGTTGGCTTCCCTCAGCAGACCTGAGTGAGAGGGTCTTTGTGTCAGGGCCCTGGCGTGAAGTGTAGAACCATCTGAGAGTATCTGGAGGCTTCCCTGGGCTAATAGCAGCATCCATTCTCGTCTTCAACACTCCTCCTATGGGGCAGACCCGTGGTCAGCCCTTCGGGGAAGGGTGAGGCTGGCGGCATTCAGTGCTTTCCTTCCTGCATGACTTCTCAGAACCCTTCATAAACGGTACAGCTGTCTCCAGACTCCCCCACCTGCACTGGGCCCTCTCAGAGGTTCAAAATCGAAACGTTCCATAGCGCCGACTCCCATAAGCCCCTGGGGGCCCCTCAGTGAGCATGGGTGTCCCACGGATTGTTCTGCCCAACAGAATAACAGGATAACCAGTAGCCGGCCTCCTTGCCTTCACTTAGCCAGTGCCCCTGGTGTGCATTCTCTGTGCCAGGCGCGGACCCAGATCCCCACCCTCAAAGGAAGGTCCCGGGCCAGAGACAGACATGCAGCCAGCCACTTAAGACCCAGTGTGATCTCCGCCGGGGATAGAGCTGTATGAGGCTTGCATGGAGTCCTGGGGCAGCCTCCGGCCTGGCCTTGGGGTTGCAAGGAGGCTTCCTTGTGGAGAAGAGCTCGTTAGGACCCAGGGTTGGGCTCGCAGGCTGGGCAAGAGGATCTTTCTCTCAGGGGGTCTCTGTGCTGGGCGAAGCACTTCCGGGCAGAGCATTTATCACTGCACTCAGCACAGTTGGTCAGCTGCTCTTTGCTGGGCACGTGGTAGGTGAGTGGAACGGATGAATGAATGAGTGAGTGAACAAGTGAATGAGGGCATGATCAGAAGCTGTTCTCCACATCCAGATGAGCCAAGGGCCCTGGCTGGGCTGTCCCTGCTTAGGGAGGGCTGAGGGGCCCTGGCCGCCTGCGCCTCCCCTCCTAGCAGCCAGGCGTGTGGGCGGAGAGCACCGGCCCCCCTCCCTGGCTTGCTGCCGTTTGCCTCACCTTGATGTCTCTGCTTCTCACACTTCATCCACAGTTCCTTCTCACAATCTCTCCTGTTTTTCCTTTGACCACTCCACTCTTTCCTCTGGACTCCTGGGCCTTCCCACTTCCCCCAGCTGTTATTATACTGAGCAGCTGGTGACCGGGTGGGTATTGCCTGCTGTGTGCCTTTTTCCTGGTGTGTGAGCGGGGTCGCCCTGGCTGGTGGCGGGGCCCAGGGCCCCGGCCTCGGGGGGTGGACGGACGTCAAGGGGTCGCTGTGGAGTGCTTGCTGTCTCAGTGCAGGGCCTCTGGAGTAGGACAGTGAGCGAGCCAGACATGGGCCTTGCCCTCGCAGAGCCCACAGGCTAGACATACATTACCGAGCACGTTGTCACGTGGGAAAGGAGAGGAGGTGAGGGGCCGTAGGGGAGTGCAGCGAGGGATATGGCTGGGAGAGACCTTCCCTGAGGAAGTCATGACAGCCCAGGGGTGGACAGGCAGACGACCTAGACAGTGTTGGGGACAAGGACTGGAGAGAAGGGAGACCCAAGACCCATGAGCACGGGGCGAGCGAGGCAGGGTGGAGGGGAGAGGCCAGGCCCCACCGCCAGGAGGGGCCCTGGAGGCCGAGGGGAGGACTTTGGACTCCTCCTCCCGCCCCCTTACTTACCTGACAGCGTGCAGGCAAGGGAGGGGGGATCCCCCGAAGTGGCACTTCTGGGACCTTGCTAGCACCCAGCCATCACTGTATGTGGCTTCATCAGTCCTGTCTCCTGCAGACACTGGTGACCGAACTCCTTCCTGTTGCTAGACATTCTGGGCTGCTTTCTCCCTCCCCTCCCAACGTGAAACCCAGGACCCAGAGAAAAAGCTCTATGACAAACTCCCTGACTGTTAGGAAAACCGTTGGATAAATTCTTCCTCCATTCTTTTTCTTTCTTTTTTTTTTTTTTTTTTTAAGTTTATTTAGTCTGAGAGACACAGTGTGAGCAGGGGAGGGACAGAGAGAGAGAACCCCAAGCAGGCTCCGCACTGTCAGCCACAGAGCCTCCGTATGGGGCCCAACCCCATGAAACCATGAGATCATGACCTGAGCCAAAACGGAGAGTTGGGACACTCAACCGACTAAGCCACCCAGCCACCCCAATTCTTCCTCCGTTCTTTTTTTTTTTTTTTTTAATGTTTTATTTATTTCCGAGAGAGACAGACAGCATGAGTAGGAGAGGGTCAGAGAGAGAGGGAGACACAGAATCTGAAACAGGCTCCAGGCTCTGAGCTGTCAGCACAGAGCCCGACCTGGGGCTCGAATCCACGAACCATGAGATCATGACCTGAGCCAAAGTCAGATGCTTAACCGACTGAGCCCCCCAGGCGCCCCCACTTCCTCCATTCTTAAGGTTCAATCTTTGCCTGTCTAGGAACGGAAGCCTGCTTTTTTAACTCTCTCTCTCTCTCTCCTTTATACAATAGCCAGCTTGAACTTTCAGGGACAGCCCCAGAGGCAGCCAGTAAAGGAATGTAACAAGGTGGTTTGCCTTGTCATGTTCTGAAAGTTCCTAAAACAATATGTACTCCTAATGGAACGTCTTACTCCTTAAGCAATACGAGAAGAAAAGTAAATAGGATGCCTACGTAACGGGAGGTGTCAGCTGTTTGCAGGCAGGGGTGCTGTGATTGTCCCGCAGAAAATAGGATGAACGGGGGAGCAGAGTGGGTGCCCACGTGCAACACACATGGCCTTTACCCACGTGGCACACGCTAGCCAGGAAATCGGGAAGTGGGAGAAGAAAAGAGATCAGGGCTTTAGGCAAATAAGGGACTTGATGGAAACGCTCCCGGTGATATTACATCTCCTGTGGACTGGGTCAGGAACCATCCAGAATGTTTTCATGGCGAGCAATGGTCCCGTGGCCTGATCTCCCAGGCGGGCTGGCTCTGTGGCCTTGGTGCTGGGGTCAGGGATGGGCACAGAGAGCAGCCTCGTTCTCAGGTCACCCTGAACATACCATGGCTGCCTCCCAGCCACCGGGGGAGGGGGGCAGGGGGGAGGGTTCCCGCCTTGGAGGCTCTGGGGCCATTGACCCCTGGAAATAGCTGGTGCTCTTGGGAGTGGCTGAGGTCAGGGCCTCAAAGCCTCAGTGTAACTAAACACATTTTCTCGTTGCATGAGCTCTTTCCCTTGGGCCGCCCTCTGTGTGGAAGGGGCTTCTCTCTGCCTCTGCCCCGAGCTGCCCCCTCGGCCCCCGCAAGGGAGAGAAGCCCACCTCGTGCTTCCCAGCATGCCGCCACATGAGTCCTCTCTCTGCTTCGTTTTCAGTGCCCAGCAGAGGAGTACGCAGCTGAACAAGAAGAGAGCCATCCCCAACCAGGTAGTCTGCCCTCCACAGCCCACAGCTCTAGCCTTGGGGGCGGATGGGACATAGGGACCTCTGAGCCCAGTGATGGTCCCTGGCTCGTGACATGGCCCGCCAGACCCCCCCCCCCCCCCCCCCCCCCACTCCCAGCCTCTTGAGTCCGTTCAGGTTTTGGTGTTTCAGGGAACCTGTCTTTGAACTGAAGCTCTGGCCCAGGCTGTGGGGCACATTTGCTCACCCAGAAGGCCCTGTCTGACATCCCAGGCCACGATTAGAACTTGACCCCCACGAGAGGGGCATGGGTGTCTGCAGGCACACTGGGTCCCCGGAGCCTCGGAACCTGTGTGAGGGCGGGTGGGAGGCTGCGTGGGGAGAAGCAGGTCTGGGGAGCCTGGGGGTGCTGTGAGCCCCGTTCCTGGAGAAACCCAGAGCCACATGGAACGTTCTCTACTTTGACGTCCTGTCCTAGCCAGAGGCCTGGTCAAGTATGAACAACTTCATATATGTCAGTGTTTGGTACCCCCCCCCCCCACTTTTTTTTCTTTAAGAAAACACATCATCTTTGCAAAAATTCCCGCCAGGGCCCACCCCACTTCTCCATATTAGACAGGGGTGGGGGTGGGGATGGGGGTGGGGGCTCTGCTATCCTGCACGATTATAGAGCCCTCTGGAAAAGAAGAATGTAACCACTGCATGACTTTTTTGCGCTTGCCGTAGGTAATACATATATTGTTGCTTTTTTGTTTCGGGAGATGATAATGAATTAAATATTAACACCATGAATATAATTAATAGCATGTAATTTTTTTTCTTTTGCTGTTTTTTCCCCCTGCTCTTCTCTCCTCCCATTTTTGTGCTTTTCCTGCTTTTTCTCTGTCCCCTCATGTCCCTTACGTTTTCTTTTCCTCTGCCTGCTCTTCTTTGATTTACCCACAATCCTAACTTTGCATTTTCAAAGGGGGAGATCTTGGTAAGTACCCACTTAGTGTGGTAGCGAACATTAGACAACCTAAGGGCGGTGGAGATCCCGCCACCCCGTAAATGTGCCTCCCCCCCAAATAACAGAACAACTAAAAACCAAGCTAACCTAAAAACCCCCTGCCAAGGCCAACACCCGCTGGACTCCATGTTGCCCTGGGCACAAGCCGACTGACACAGACACTAACCTGACCACCACCCTTGTGGGAGCCCCCCTTCCCCTGCCAGCCCATTCCTGACACGTGTAGCTAGTTTCCTGTAGGTCAGGGATGGCAAATACTCCGCTAACACCCCGCGCTTCCCTCCCCTCCCATCCCTGGCCAGGGACGATGTAGCTTAAGCCCTGCTGGAACTGGTTCTTGCCCCTGTCACCGCCACTTGCCTCATAATGCAGAAGTGGTCTCCTGTACCCAGGGCAGACATTACTAATCGATCTAGCACGCTTTCCTTGGTGCCCCTCCCTGGCCGTGTGCAGGCATGGCTAATCAATCCTGGCGTTCTTTCCTGAACATGCCACCACTCCCCTTTCTGTGGCAGATGTGACTGAACTGGTCAAAGAATCTGCCCCCCCCGACATGATAGCTTTGCACGTGACACCCCTCCTATACCCACGAGAGGCGTTACTGGCTGGTCAGGAAACTCTCTCCTGGGTACTGCCACTGTTGTTCCGTGCCCATGGTAGATGTGACGATTGATTAGACTGCCCTGTGCCACTTGCTCCCTTCCCTTAGAGCTTGCCTGCGGCAGGCATCACTCATTGATCCTAGTGTCCTTTCCCGCCGCGCCTGGAATTCTCACTTTGAATTGTCGCCAAAGCGGCAGCTGCTTCCCGTCGATTGGTGCATCCATCCCCAATGAATGGTATTTGCCATCCCTGTTATAGGGAACACCTCCTCTCCATGTGCGGCCCAGCCCAGCCCAGTGGGGAGCAGGTGGGCTCCCGTCTGAGAGGTGAGCTTTTTGCAAGGTGCTCACCCCAGAGCAACTGGCTTCAGCCCCAGCTCGCCACCTTGGGGCTCAAGGCCTGGGCCACCTCCTCCAGGACCTTTTCCCACCACTGGCCACTGAGGCGCTGGCGGCCTGCTGCTGCCCTCTGGCGGGGTCTTCTGGTGAGGCCAGGGGTCTTTGCAATAGCTGAGCCGGTCCTGTGCCAGGGCCGCGCTGCACCCAGGGCCTGGCAGGTCAGAGAGAGCTGAAGCTCAGCAGGGTCGGATAGGGGCAGAGGCAGGAGGAAGGGCCGCTCCGTAGGCCTATGGGTCCCGCATTTCCCCATGATGCCCCCCCAGTCCTCTCTGAACTTGAACCATCTCCCCCTGCAGACAGCCCAGGGGCCCGCTTCTCCTCACACCCCCAAAAGGTTTAGTTGTTGTCTTCCTGCCACATTCCACAGCCCCAGCCCCAAAGCCCAGCCAGTCCCGGCTGTGGGCCCCTCTGCGTCTCCCGGCCTTGGTTCCCATTCCTGCCTGGGTGACTCGGGCCGAGACCCTGACCCAGGAGGAGGCTGACCCACCCTGCCGGCGGGCCCCAGCTTGCTGCTTCCTGTTGCTGCCCACGCTCCCGCCTCCCACCCCTGGCGTGCAAGCAAGCTTGTCACTGTGCACCCCAGGGCGTGGGAGCCTGCCTGCCTCTTCTGTCCCTCCACCTCCCTACTTGTAAGCCAGGCCCCCAGGGCACCAATCTGGCTTTTGGATGAGGAGGCCCAGCCACGCCTTCTGTAGACTCAGTGCATGTGTCTGCCTCGTGCGTGCGTCTGCCGCCCACAGCTTGCGCCTCCCCCGGGTGGGATTTGTCCCTGACCCTACATGGCTCCCCCCGCGGACAGCTCTCTGGGCAGCTCAAGGGGAAGGGGACCTTGCAGGCTTCTCCAGGCCTACTCAGAGGTGCCATTCCCAGCGCGGCCTCCGCCCCAGGGCCGTGCGCCCCGCAGCGTGGCCAGGGCCCTATGTGCCAGCTCTGCCTGCTGCCACCTGAGGTTGGAGGCAGGTGAGCTAGACCAAGGAGGGTGGGTGGGGGGCACATCTGCCCCCTTGGGAACTGGGCTGGGCCCTGGAGTGGAGAGGCCTCCCCATGTGAAGACTTCTCTTCTGGGGAGCACTGACAGCCTATGGTCTCCACCCCCTGCTCCTCTTCCCCTGCTTGTCGGTGACTGAGGTTTATAAGTACCTACCCTGCCCGGGCTGGGGAAGGAAGGAGCGGGTATGAACACGGAGACCCACACAGCTCTGGGACTGGGGTTGGGTGCTGGTGCCAGGGACTCTTTCCTGGGCCACATGCAGGATGGCCTCGAGCCTGAGTCTGGAGACCAGCCTTGCCCCTAGCATGACCAGACCCCCCACTTTGCCTGGGCCTGGGGGCGTTCTCAGGACTCAGCACAGATTTTTCAGTGCTAAACCGGGGCGCCCTGGGAGGATACCCTGACCTTGCTGGGGCCAATGGGCTCTGCCCCCTTGCCCACCAGGCAGCCCATGGTTGGGCGGGTGCCAGCGGTCTCTGCCTGCTCCCCAGTGGCCACAGATCTCCAGGTGCTGTCTGGTCATCACTAGGAAGCCCTAACAGCGAGGTGGCATTCCATGCTGGCCCCAGCCTGGACAAGGGCTTCTGTGTGGTGCAGGGGTCCCTGGGGGTGCTCTGGCCACTTCCACTTTCATGGCCCATGGGGCTCAGAGCATAATTCCAGCCATAGGAGGCAGGCTGTCCTGTTAAGCTCCAACAGGCCTGGGGGCAAGTCAGGGTAGGAGGATAAAGCCCCTCCTGAGACTTATCCATTAGGAAGACAGATGGGGGAGCCCCAGAGTCATCCCTGAGGTCCCACCCCTGATGATGCTGCCCCGCCCCACCCTGGCGGGAGACTCAACACCAGCCCATCCCAGCTGCCCTTGGCCGCATCTAGTAGCTTGGCCCAGCCTGTTGCTGCCTGGGCCCTGGGCGGCCCTGCCTGGGCCGCCTCGTGCTTCCTGCGGTCCCGGGGTCCCCAAGCCAGAGTGATGGGGAGCTCTGGCCCGCGCATACCTCTGTGACCCAGGGAACATGGGACCGTGGCCCCCTAGGCTGCCTGCATGTGGCTGTCTGCAGAGGCCTGGCTCGATTCTGCCTCGTACTCAAGTGACAGCTACGGGCAGAACGGCCCTGTCCAGGGGATCCTCTAAGTCAGAGCTGCAACGCGTCAGAAAAGAGTAGGGCTGCTGGGTTCGAGGCCAGCAGGGGCCACGATCCCCGGCGAGTGCTGTGGGCTCACACCTTCGGCCCCAGCCCTCTGGGTGGAAGCACCCCTTCTTCCTATACTCTGGAAAGAGTCTGTGGGGAAGGGAGCCTGGGACGGAGGCTGGCCGCAGTCCCCGTTCAGAGCGGGGCCCGTCCCCCCTGAGCAACCCGGGCAGATGCGCCAACGGCGCGGGCCACAGAGTTAACACTGTGGGTTAAGCCTCTGCTGGCCGCCCACAAAAGGAGAGAAGGAGCCACTCCCATTTTGTGGCAGTTCTCTGGCCTGCCTTTAACAGCCGTCTTCCAGGGGGTGCGAGGGCCAGGTGTGAGGGCGTCCCTGGCACTTGGTCCCGCTAGTGTGATTCCTCTGATGCCACGTCCCCTGTGACACACTCCCTGGGTCCCTTGCTGCCGGGCACACCGCCTCTTGCCTGTGCTGTTCCCTGTCCCCTCCACCCACGCCCCCGCGAGGCCTGTGAGTGAGTGCTCGTGCCCTGTGTCTGTCTGCCTGGGCGTCCCTGTTGGTTTCCAGTGGGAAATGCTTGGGGGCAAAGGTGGAGGTGGGTTGCCTGGCCTGGGGCTGGAGGCGTCTCTGCTGTGTGGTCCGCCTTCCTTCCTGGGCACCGGCCCTGCGCAGGGTCGGGGGGTGGGGGGGTTGGGCTGGGCCGGGCGGCAGGCGTCAGCCCCCTCTGAGCAGACCCCTCCCCCCCAGGTGATCCGCAGGGGCTGGCTGACCATCAACAACATCAGCCTGATGAAGGGCGGGTCTAAGGAGTACTGGTTTGTGCTGACGGCCGAGTCCCTGTCCTGGTACAAGGATGACGAGGTGAGTGGCTGGGGGAGGGGGACGCGGTGGGACTAGAGTGGGTGGACCCCTGCTGGTTCCTTCGATAGAGGCCCCTGAGCCGCCCCCCCTCCCCGAGGATGGGGGGGCGTACCAGGCACCAGGCGGCTGGCCCACCCCGGGAAGAGAGGGAGATGGGGAGGGGAGCCCTCAGCACACTAGGAATCGACCCCAGCCTCCAGGGCCACAGTGAGGCACCCCCAGCTCTCAGGGGTCAGGGACTCAGGCTTCTGGCCAGGCCGCTGAGGTGCGGGGGGTCCAGCGTCTATCTACAACAGGCTTGGCCCGGCCCTTTGTTTCCCCATCTGTGAGGTGGGGTAGCATGGCCCCCATGACGTGCGTAGCTATAGCGTCTGTCTAGAGCATTCCACACGTGCTTGTCCTGATCCAGAGGACGTGGGGAGGCCTCTGGGAGTGGCACCAGGAGCACCAACCCCCGGGGATGGCCCTGCATCTGCCTTGTACGTCGGCGTCTAGGAACCCACAGCCAAGCTCTCTGAGCAATGGCACCTGCAGCCTGGTGGGCGGCCTCTCGGGCAGCACTGCTGGCCGGGTCCTTTCTCCGCCTCTGCACTGGCCCATCCTCCTGGCCTGAGTGGCCCATCTCTTTGCTTAGTTCTCTTAACGTGGCTGCAGCCTAGTGGCCCGGGAATGGCGGGGAGTGGCGCCCTCAGGTGTCACTGCCTGTTGCTGCTCTGTTGTGCGCAGGGTTGACTTCTGAGGGTTGCCAGCAGGGGGCACTGTTTCTCTCATCTTCCTGAGTTTTCCCCATGAAAAGCCCGCCGGCTCTCCCTGTTGGCCAGGGACGTGTTGGGTGTCTGTGACAGAGGCCCCAAACGAAGGCGCTTACAGAGACTGAAGTCTGTTCCTTGCCCGTGTCCTGGTGAGCTCGGCAGGCCTGTGCCGGGAGGCTGTCCAGGGCCCCAGCTCCGCCCTCCCCATTGCCACCTTAACGCGTGACACCCCTGTCGTGGTCCCAGATCCCCTGTGCCCATCACAGTGTGATCTCCAGTAGCCTGAAGAAGGGAAAGGAGGGCCTGCTCCCGCCCCTGGCCATCCGGTCACATGGCCCCTGTGTATCCTGGTCACCTGGGAGGGCACAGCTCCTGTGTGTGAAGTCCCTGCCCTGTGCCAGCCTTGCTGGCTTGCAGAGCCCACCGTGGCCGCATCTTCCTCAGGAAATCCTTATCTCCATCTGTCCTTGAGGAATCAGGCCCCAAGCAGTGACTTGTCCTGTGTCACAGAGCGGGGAAGCGTCCCTGTGTTGGGGGTATAGGGCGCACGCTTCCTGTCCCGAGACCCCTCAGCCCTGGCCTGGACCACTCCCTCGAGGCCCAGGCGGGACACGGTTCCTCTGAGGGAGGGTGTTTAGGGGTGAAATGTCATTGTTCCCACTCCTTCTGGAACCTTCCAAGAGCAGTGGGAAACCCCCAGCCCGCTGAAGGACCCCATCTGGTGGCTGCTTCTAACCCGGGAGAGGGTGCGTCCAGGACCACAGAGGCTCTCGGGGTTGGGATGTAGGGGGAGGGGGAGGTCAGGCGTTCCTTCAGGAACCCTCGTGGCCAGATCCGCTTCTCAAAATGGCCGGGCTGAGGGGGTGGGGATGACGCTTTTGCGTTTTGTCCCTCCTCCCGCCCCCACTGTCTGAAAGCCGGTCTGCTGTGGTGCGTCCGCTGCCAGGCCAGCCCGGGGGCCGGGCTCCACCTCAGGCCCGGGCACCTCCGCCCTGGGTGCAGGCTCTGGGCTTTGGGACGGCCTCGGGCAGCGGTACGGGGACTTCAGGGCCCAAACCCCAGGGTGGGTCACTCCAAGTCCAGTGTTAAGAGCTCCTTTTCTTTGACGGAGAAGGGGTCGTGTTCCCCCCCCCCCATGTGGGGGTTGAAGGCTGCAGCCCTGGAGCCTCCTGCGGGCCCAGACCAAAGGCCGGGGAAGCTTCGGGCGGGAGGAGGGTGGATGGCCCGCGGGCGGTAACGCCGGGCCCGTGAAAGGGGCCCTGTGTGCGCCGCAGACACAAAGCCCGCTAAGACCGGGAGGGGTGGGAGCCAGATCCCAGCAGCGCAGGGGACCCTCGGAGCCCCACACGTGGCAGTCGCCACCCCCCGAAGCTCAGGGACCGTCTCAGAGAGGCGAACTGTATTTCTTTATTTTAAAAAACAGCCCAAGAGGAAGCACTTACAGAGTGGGGCGGGAGTAGGGGAGCAGCTCGGCCGGACCCCCACCCCCTCGGCAGGCGGCAGGCTCCCCCTGCTTTCCCCTGGCCCCTCTTCTCCCAGCCAGGCCCTTCCAGACTCCCCCGGGCTTGTGTGCGTGTCTCTCCGCGCCCCGGTGGGGAGCAGGGCGGTGGGCGATGGCACTCACCTCCAGGCCTGCCTTGCTGCGGAGGGGCAGCAAGTTTGGGGGTGCCCGTCCCGGCGCGCTGCTTGCCCGAGCCCAGCCTAACCAATGTGCAGACTACTGTACACATTCAGAGCCCCCTGAACAGGTAGTCTGAACACTGGGTTGGCGGGGCCGGCTGTCTGTCCTGCAGGACCCCCGGCGGGCCGGGGTGGAGGCAAGGAGGGCCACCGTGCCCCAGCCCCTTGGAGTGGCCGGGGAGGCTGGTGCCTGCACCCGTCCGCTTCGCCTCTTCTGACGTGGCACGGCTGGGGCCGGCTCGCATCTGGAGAAAGTTGTGGGTTTGCAGGAAATCCTAAGGAGGGGGCTGGGGAGCGGGTGGGCGTGGGCGGGAGGGAGGGTCCGGGTCCGTGGCCACTATGTGCAGGCGAAGGTCTCCTGGGGAGGGTGGGGGGGTGGGGTGCACGCGCGCCTCTGCGTCTCTGTGTGTGTTTGTTCTGTGTGTGCGTGTCTGTAGCATCGGGGAGGCGGCCGCCGCTCTCTGGGCGGAATCACACTATAAACAGTTCCAGATGTGGCGTCTCGCTCAGGGCCCTGAAGGACTGTGACTCAGTTACTTGGCCTGGCTGGCCAGCTAGAAGCTTCCTGCCTCCTGACACGACAGGGCGGGGGCAGCAGAGGCCCTTCCACAGTTTTCTGAGCTGAGAACACCCCCCCCACCACCACCACCCCGGCCCCTTCTAAAGCCCCCAAGACTCTTCTCTGGGAGGTTGGAGGGCCCTGCGCCTTACCCAGAGCTTTCTTTGCCACCTCCTTCCTTGGATCCCCCCGCCTGCAGTATGGATGGAGGGTTCGCGCCTCTGTGGCCGCCGGGCCCCTCTGCTGCCCCTCACTGCAGCTTGGCCGGAAGGAGCACTCTGGCCGGCTTCCTCCTTTGTCAGAGCCCAGGGACCTGACCCTAGAGTCATAAGAGGGAGGGACAGACACAGGAAAGAAAACCCTAGCGTCTCCTAGGCTCACCTTAATCCTCACCTTGCACAAGGAGGGCAGGACCCCTGTCCGCCTTTGACAGATGAGGACACGGATGCAGAGAGAGGAAGTGGTTTGCCCAAAGGTTCGTGGCCAGGGCGGGCCGGGGCCCATCCGAGCCACTAAGGCTGCAGGACCCACCCCTGCCTGTGTCTGTGGAGTCCTGAGACCTTGAGCCAGCTCTCACCTGCCAGGGAGCCCCCGGCCCCTGCCCCTCCCATCACTGTGGCTGCTCTGGAATTCGGAGGCAGCAGCCATATTGGGCTTTGTTCTGGGGCCTTCCAGTGCACAGGGACAAAATGGGAACTCCCAGGTGAGGGGGAAGGTATCTATTCTCCAAAGATGCCCCGAGGTAAAAGAAAGGGTGGTGGACAGAACTTGGCTCTGGGTCACATGGCCTCGGTTTCTGAGGTCCCGCTATGGCCCACTCCACCTGCCGTGTGGCTCTGGGCAGCCACCTTCCGCCTCCGAGCACAATGCTTCCGTGGCAGGGATCGGGAAGGGTCATCAGAGCCGCTGTGGATCACGGGCATGGGAGCCACGGCGTCCCAATGCTGTGCTCTGGTGTCCTGACGTGGGAAACCCAGCTAGTGGCCGCCGGGAGGGCTAAGATGGTGCACCCGCGGGGGCTCAGCCCCAGGCTGGGGATGCAGAAGGTTCTTAGCCGCCATCGGTGGGTAAATGTTGGCTTCGGTGACTCACCAGGCCTGCGCCCTTGGCTGAAGGCCACGTCCTCTCAGCTGCTTCCCCAGCGGCCACCAGGACTGCCTTGTCTGCCCTCGGAGGGGCACTTCCTGAACAGGGCTGCCCTTAGGAAGCGAGTGACACTTCCGTGGCTTTGGAGCTCAGGCCTCACCTCAAGGGGGCTCACTCTCCAGCTCCAGAATCATCTGAAGCTGATGCGTTTTCAGTCCCAGCCCCACCCCCGCGTCGTTGCCTGCCCCTCTTCGCCTCACTCTCCCTCTCTGTAAGATGGGGTCATCACGGTAATTCAGTTACAGGCTGGTTGTGAAGATACAGCGGTTGTAGGTGTGGTTGTGAACAAAACAGACAGGAGTCCGGCCTCGAGGAGCTGACGAATTGGGCCGGGTGACAGACTGTAGCCTAGGTCAGTGGGCAAGATAACGTGGTGTGGCGTGTTAGGCGAGGGGAAGTAGCAAGGAAGACAGGGAGGGCGAGGGAGAGAGAGCGCCTGTGAGCGTGCAGGAGGGGTGGGGGACAGGCCCCTCCCAAAGGGTCCCTCTGCACAAAAACCTGAAAGAGGCAAGTAGGGAGCCCCGCAGGCATCGGGAGGAGAGTTCCAGCAAAGGCCCTGGGGTGACACAGGCGGCAAGGAGGCCAGCATGGCTGGGGCAGGGTGCACGAAGGGGAGGCGGGGGCCGAGGCAAGTGAGTTAATCCCAGTAAAGCCACCAGCGTGGGAGGCATCAGGTGTTGGCATTGGCCCTCGAGGTGGGGCCCAGTCTGCGGTGACCCGTCCCCCTTCTGCCCTCAGGAGAAGGAGAAGAAGTACATGCTGCCTCTGGATAACCTGAAAATCCGCGATGTGGAGAAGGGCTTCATGTCCAACAAGCACGTCTTTGCCATCTTCAACACAGAGCAGAGGTGAGGGCCCACCGGGCGAGGGTGGCCGGCCTCATCCGGTCATTCTGCAGCGCCCACTGAGCATCTTCTGTGCAAAGTCCCTGCCCTGGGGTCTCATGTTCCAGAAGGGGAATCAAGTGAGGGGCGTCTGGGTGGCTCAGTCCGTTAAGCATCCGACTTTGCATCAGGTATGCATCTCACGGTTCCCAGGTTCAAGCCCCGCGTCAGGCTCTGTGCAAACGGCTCAGAGCCTAGAGCTTCCCCCTCCCCACCCCACTCGTGCTCTGTCTCAGTCTCAAAAATAAACATTAAAAAAAAAAAATTTAGAAAGGGAACCAAGTGAGAAACAGAAAATGGCCGTGGGTGCTTCCAGCGTGTGGTCAGGAAAGACCTATCTAGGCAGAAACCTAATGGAGTGATGGCAGCGGGTCTGAGCCGAGGAGGGACTGGCCCCTGCTCGGATGCTCAGGCGCCCCCTGGTGGCCATTTTGGGGGAGGACAGGAGGTGGGAAACTAGGCCCGGTTGCATAACACTGGTCCAGATGGGAGACTGGGGGGCTGGGCCGGGGCTGAGGACATAGAGGAGGCTGTGGCGGGCGGTGCTGAGGGTCAGAGCTGACCCAAGTCTGGGTCAAGAGAAGAAGGCATTTTCTGATGACCCTGAGCTCGCACGGGGACCGAGCTGCCATCAGCTGGGGGGAAGGCAGAGTCAGGGGAGGCTTGGGGACAACCCAGGGGCTGGGTTGGGGCCATGCTGAGGGAGAGAGGGCTCTGAGACACCGGGTGGGGAATGAGGGGGGCAGCCGTACCCGTACATGGGTCTGGTGTTGGGGAACGAGCTCCGGGGAGGGTGAGAACTGGGGAGCTGTTACTGCATGGCCGTGTCCAAAGTCGCCAATGGGGTGAGACCCTCAGTACTTGTAGACAGGGGAGAAGGGCCCAGGAGGTCCTCAGTAAATCCGCCCCACGGGCACTGGGGTGGGGGCGACTTCAGCAAAAACAAATATCCTTTCCTCGGCTCGGGAAGGGAGCTGGCAGGAGCTCTGAGAACAGGGGCGGGTGGAGTGCGGACACCACTCAGGAGTCCTCCTCCGGGAGTCAGGGAGCACTCAGTCGGACTGGCTCTCAGCCAAGGCCTGGAGGCTCTTCACGACGGAAGGACAGACATCGGCGTCCTCCCCGCTGCCCCAGGGCCACCCCCACCCCACCCCCCGCTGCCCATGGCTCCCAGGGGTTGGAGGCCAGCCTCTGTTTTGTGTAGGAATAGCTCTCCCTGCTCTGTTCTGGGCTGGCCTGAAGCTCTGGGACCCACTTGGGCATGGCTGAGCCTGGGCTTTGTCGTGGGACAGCCTGGCCCGGAAGTTCTTCCTTGGGGCACAGAGGGCAGCAGTCTGGCTTCACGGCCCCGTGATCCCCTGTGTGGGAAGGTGAAGATGGTACCTAATGTATCATTTACGAGTGAGCTCAGGAACCCCAGAATAACAGTCATGGAAACAAGATAGAAGTTTCTGTTGTTTCTCATGACGTTACCATCTGGGGCAGGTGGGGCGGCTCCAGAGGCGTTCAGATCCATCCTTATTCCTGAGCCTCCCTCCTCCTCTTCCAAGATGGCTGCCCGAGGTCCAGCCACCATGATACTCCGGGCAGTGGGAAGGAGGAAGAGGAGCAACAAAGGCCTGCCTTCCCTTTTCCGAGGCTCCTTCCAGAAGTCTCAGGGCCGCCACGCACTGCTGCTCGTTGGCCATAGCTCCGTCATGGGCCACGAGTAACCTCAGACTCGGATCTCAAACACAAAAGCTTTGGGCCAGCTTGGCCGCCCCCACCCTGTGGGACGGGACAGCGCGTGTGGCACAGGTCGTAGCCCGCACAGCACCGTCCATGAACGCTGGTTAGTGTCCGTCCGTTTCTCCGCCAACCTTGTGGCTCTTGCACCTTTCTTCTGCTCACAGACCCACATTTGCCCTGGGAGTCCCCATCCCCCACGTCCCTCCCTCCCCACCAGCCCGCACCCCCCCGGAATCAGGGCACATTCTACACCTTCACCATCAAATGCAGTAGCCACTGGCCCAAATTTAGCTATTTAAATGTAAGCTGACTGAAATAAAATGACGTTGAGAGTCCCTTCCTTCGTCACCCTGGCCCCGTGGCTGGTGCTCACAGAACCACCGTAGCCCTTTGCCACCACGCCTGACAACACGGGTTGAGAACGATTCTGCCATCACAGAATGTTCCGTTGGACACCTTTGCTGTAGCCTCCCCGGAAACACCGGGGTGGGAGCTCCCCCAGGCAGGGGCGTTGTGGGACACCTGCCCGCTTCTGAGGGGGGTCTCAGGCAGCCTTTGCCCGCCCCCCCGCCAACCGGAGGGCACGGGAGAGGGCCAGTTCCCAGGCAAAGGAGAGGAGTCGACCGAACCCACAATAACAAACCCCCTCGGATGCCGCTAGATGCAGACGTCACTGAGCACGTGTGCTGCGCTCGGCAGGGTTTTAGAGGCTGTAGGCACTACCTGGGGGCCCCCATCTGCCCGACCAGGTAGAGGTGCCCCTGCCATCCCGGGGCTGCAGCTGTGAGCGCCTGGGTCAGGTGTGAGTCCCCGCCAGTCAGTCCCCAGGGCCCCCGCTACAGCTCTGCCCCCTGCTCGGCCCACGGGCAGGGTCAAACCACGGCCTCTCCCTCCTCCCTTTTGCTGCAGGAACGTCTACAAGGACCTGCGGCAGATCGAGCTGGCCTGCGACTCCCAGGAGGACGTGGACAGCTGGAAGGCCTCGTTCCTCCGGGCTGGGGTCTACCCCGAGAAGGACCAGGTGAGGAGCCGCCCTGCCCAGCGGGCACGCCGCGGGCCGTGCGGGCCCAGCCTGGGAGAGGAGGGGGTCTGGCGGCTCACCGGGTGGGTCATTTCCAGACACGTAGCCCATACTGTCACGAGCAAACAGAGGAGGAAAGGGGAGAGGGTTTTGTGGTCAGAGTCCAGAAGGTTCTCCAGGTAAAGCCAAGACAGGGATATACATGGCCTGGGATCCCGTCTGCTTTGTCCCCTCTCCCCTCTCCTCTCCTTGAGGTGGAGTGAACGTGGCCGCCCTCGGCCCCCAAATTAACATGGTCCAGTCCCCAGGTGAGGGGTCCAACCGCCTTGGGCCATGGTCACCCCAGGTGCAGGCAGCTCAGGCCAGGGGCAGGCACGGCCATCAGGGACATGCCCAGAAAGCCGGCTGTGGGCCGGACAGGCAAGCAGTTCGCAGAGAAGAGGGGCTCCCCACGCTCCCCCAGGCCACCGTCCCCCCTCACCGCCTGCCCTCTCTACCCGCAGGCAGAAAACGAGGACGGGGTCCAGGAGAACACCTTCTCCATGGACCCGCAGCTGGAGCGCCAGGTGGAGACCATTCGCAACCTGGTGGACTCGTACGTGGCCATCATCAACAAGTCCATCCGCGACCTCATGCCAAAGACCATCATGCACCTCATGATCAACAACGTGAGTGCCTGCCCCCGCTCCGTCCCGTGGGGAGGGGCCCGGGCCGCCAAAGCCCGGTTGGCCCTAACATTTGCATAACATTTAAAATTAGAGTCATGACCTTCTAAACATCAGAGCCTCTCAGGAAATCAAAAGGTGCGGGCCACATGGGGCTCACTCACTCCCTTTTCGTTGGGTAATTGAAGTGAAGGACACATGTATACACTTTCTCTAAGTTTTCTCGGCCTTATAATGACCCTAGGAGAAGAACTGCGATGTGTCCATGTTCTAGACAGGAAAGGGGGGCCCGGCAAGGTCAAGGAGGCTGCCCTGAGTCACTGAGAAGAGTGGGTGGTGGCGTTAAAACCCAGTCAGAGCCTGTCCCCAACGGTGGCCTCCTGCTGGCCTGTGGCCCAGCCCATCTTCACTCAAGGGCAAAGGACATTGCCTACCCCAGGCTCCCCACACTCGGGCTTTAGGCCTCTCTTTGGTGAAACGCACTTGTACTAATGTCTCCCGCTCTCGGTTGCAGGGAGGGTGCAGGGGGCTCATGTATCAGGCCTTCGGCTCAGCCAGGCACTCAGGAAGCTTTGTACACCAGCTTTGGCTTATGTTGTGCCTGTGAAAGCTTGAAATGCCACAGGGTCTAAAGCAAAACTCCCAAGTCCTTTCTTTTTCACTGTGTTCTTCGTGGTCTCCTTGTTAAGCTTCATGGGGGTGCCAGTGGGCTCCTCACGAATAGATGGATTTAGGATATAGATGCTTCTGCAGCTGTGAAATTTATTTATTTATTTATTTTTATTTATTTCTAGGAGAGAGAGAGAGAGAGAGAGAGAGAGAGAGACAGCGTGAGCAGGGAAGGGTCAGAGAGAGAGGGAGTCACAGACTCTGAAACAGGCTCCAGGCTCTGAGCTGGCAGTCAGCACAGAGCCCGACGCGGGGCTCGAACCCACGAACCGCGAGATCATGACCTGAGCAAAAGTCAGACGCTTAACCGACTAAGCCACCCGGGCGACCCTGCAGCTGTGAAAATTTCATGTGTGCTCCGACCCAAAAGTTCCCCCTTGCAGAAGCTCTCCCTGCGGACACATTTGCCCGCATACAAATTGAGCATATATGTGCTGATTTTAGCGTTGTTTTTGTAGTGGCTGAAAATTAGAAATATCTATCCACTTAATAGAATCCAGCTAATAAATAACCATTCTATAAGAAGGAAGGGAGGGAGGAAGGGAAGTAAGGAAAAAGAAAAAAGAAGAGGAAGTCCAGGTTGATAATAGCTCATTTATAACACAGAAAAAGAAAACTATGGAGCATAACAGAATATACAGGAAGAATCCATTTGTATAAAAGGGGAGGGGAAATAAACTCTCGAGCCTGGTCATTTTGGCAGATGTTGACAGTTCATTTGGGAAAATTCAACATCCATTCTTAAAAAGCCAATGTAGGAGTCTCCTGTTAGGAATCCGTGTTTCCATCTCAAAGTCACTTTTTTTCTTTCTTTTTTTTTAGTGTTTATTTTTGAGAGGGGGAGGGGCAGAGAGAGAGGGAGACACAGAATCCAAGCAGGCTCCAGGCTCCGAGCTGTCAGCACGGAGCCCAACGTGGGGCTCAATCTCACAAACTGGGAGATCGAGACCTGAGCCAAAGTCGGATGCTTAACCAACTGAGCCACCTAGGTGCCCCTCCAAAGCCACCCTTGACCTTGTTTTTTTTTTTTTCAATGTTTTATTTATTTCTAGGAGAGAGAGAGACAGCGTGAGCAGGCGAGGGTCAGAGAGAGAGGGAGTCACAGACTGAAACAGGCTCCAGGCTCTGAGCTGGCAGTCAGCACAGAGCCCAACACGGGGCTCAAACCCACAAACTATGAGATCGTGACCTGAGCTGAACTTGGACACTTAACTGACTGAGCCACTCAGGCGCCCCAGTGTTTATTTTTTGAGAGAGAGTGAGCATGAGAAGGGAGGGGCAGAGATAGAGGGAGACACAGAATCTGAAGCAGGCTCCAGGCTCCGAGCTGTCAGCACAGAGCCCAACACAGGGTTCAAACTCACGGACCGTGAGATCACGACCTGAGCTGAAGTCAGCCACTCAACCGATTGGCCACCCAGGCATCCCCAGAGCCACTTGTGACCTTAATGGGGAAACTCGGGAAAATTCCCTTGAAAATCAAGAACAAGTTGGCCATCTCCACTTGTGTTTAAAGCTTTCTTATAGAGCTACTAACCAATGTAGTCAGATTAGAAAAATCGCATAGAGGTGTGAACACTGAAAAAGAATAGGGAAGCCCATCCCTCCCTAATTGTAGAAGGTCACGTACACGTGAACACACCAAGAAATGCTGAAAAACTCCTGTATCCTGTAGGAGATTTTGGAAGGAACAAAGTATAAAATGAATAGACACTAGTACTGTTTATTTTTTTCATTTTAGAACAAGCATGTGCTAGTCGGGGAGGGACAAAGGCAGAGAGGGAGGGAGGGAATCAATCTTAAGCAGGCTGCATGCTCAGGAAGAAGACCCTGGCATCATGACATGAGCTGAAATCAAGAGTCGGATGCTCAACTGCTTGAGCCACCCAGGCGCCCCTTTTAAACACTTTTTTTTCTTTAAGAGAGGAAACTAGTAGTCAAAAGCCAGTTCTCAGGTAACCGAAGGGAGGAAGATGACCATACAAGAGGCAGGGTTCTTGGGCTAATTCTAATCACCAGCATCTGGGGAGATGGGTCCGAAGAGCACTTGAAGGTGCCCCCGGGCAGACCCCTGGGTAGAAAGCCTGCCCGCGGTTTCAACCTCTTCCACGTCCTGCAGTGGAGCGAGAGGCTGGACGGCCTGCGGGTGTGGTCGCAAGTCCTGACTCCCCCCGCCCATTGCCCCCAGACCAAGGCCTTCATCCACCACGAGCTGCTGGCCTACCTGTACTCGTCGGCAGACCAGAGCAGCCTCATGGAGGAGTCGGCCGACCAGGCCCAGAGGCGGGACGACATGCTCCGCATGTACCACGCGCTCAAGGAGGCCCTCAACATCATCGGGGACATCAGCACCAGCACCGTGTCCACGCCCGTGCCCCCGCCCGTCGATGACACCTGGATCCAGAGCTCCAGCAGCCACAGGTCCGCAAGGCCCGGTCCCTACAGTCTGCAGAGGACGCGGCGGCTCCCACGTGGCCCATTAGGGCACAGCCCGAGGGGTGGACGGGGTGGAGGGGCCCCCAGGGCAGGCCACAGTGGGAGCCGCTACCCTGCCAGGGCCTCACGCAACAGACAGAAGGGTAGGGTTAAAGGCCCATGTGTGGCCTGGTGCCTCCCACGGGCTAAGCCCAAAGCGGCCCGGGCCGTGGCAGCCATGGGGTCATCGTCCTGGAGCCCAGAGCAGAGGCGAGAGTGGCGGGTTGGGGGCGATCTCTGGGGGCCTTAACCAGCACGACCCTTCCCCCTCAGCCGCCCCAGAGCTGTTGGATGGAAATGAGACGCTGGCATGGGCAGCACACACCATCGGACAGGGCCACCAGACCAGTGCCGGGGCGGGTGTTGGGAGGGGAGAGGGCCTGTCAGGGAAATCTAGAAGGTGCCAGCCCTACTGAGACCTCAGGGAGCCATGGAGCTACTCAGGGAGAGGGTACCCAGCCTGGGGGATAGGGTTGCTTAGGCCCTGGGGACAGCCTGTGGGGGCCACCCAGGGCAGGGGCTTGTAGGCCCTGCAACCTCTGGCAGCATTTGGAGTTGATTGGGAGTCAGGGCTGGACTCTGGAAGGATCTGCGGCTAATGAGGGTGGATCGGGGGAGGTAGAGCAGCCGGGAGGCCCAAGCAGGGCTGGTGGGAGGGAAACAGCCAAGGGAGGGAGGTCAAAGGGAAGCAGGAGGCCCCGGTGGCCGGCCGAGCTGGGGTGCAGGTGGGCCCTGGCTCAAGTTCAAGGTGAGGGCACAGCCATTGCTAAGCAGGTGGCGGCAGAGTGGATGGAGGGAACAGCTACTCCCCTACCTGCGTGTCCCCGGGTGGGAGCTGGTGCCTGCCTGTGTCACCTGTGTCACTCCCGGGCCTCCAGGCCCCCACTGGCCAGGCTGGTGCACCCCACCCCCGCCTCCAGCTCACACGTTCTCCTTCCTCCGCAGCCCCACTCCACAGCGCCGACCCATCTCCAGCGCGCATCCCCCAGGCCGGCCCCCGGCAGTGAGAGGCCCAACCCCGGGGCCCCCCCTGATTCCCATGCCAGCCGCCTCCTTCGCCGCACCCCCCATCCCGTCCAGGCCTGGACCCCAGGGCGTGTTTGCCAACAATGACCCCTTCTCAGCCCCGCCTCAGATCCCATCTCGGCCAGCTCGGATTCCGCCAAGCATCCCCCCTGGAGTGCCCAGGTAAGGCCGGACCCCCCTCACTGCCTGCCACCAGGGCCACCAGCCTGCACCCTGGGGCCTCTCCAGCCCTAAGCTCTCCTTGCGCCTCGCCGAGGAATGGAGCTGGTGTGAAAACTAAGGCCCATAGAGACCGAGTCACTTGCCCAGAAGTCACTGAGTGGCAGAGAGTCAGGGTGACCCCAGGGCTCCCAGGCCTGTCCTTTGCCTGAGCGGGTGCCCCACCATGCAGGGTGGGACTCCACGCGGGCCCCCGTCTCCTGGTTTTGACCTTGGTTTTCTTTCTTGAGGACATACTCGGGGCTGTTGCACACCCCTGCCCTGCCCTCCCCCACCCTGCAGGCCAGGCTCTGTCCTCCTCACTTCTCCCACGAGGGACCCAAGGCCCAGGGTGGGTGGGGACTCACACAGTCACACCACAAACTCCCTCCTGGCTCTCTAGCATCCCTGAGAGCATCCGGCGCCCTGGGCAGGGGATGGGGGGGTGGCCGGGCTCCTCTCCCTCATCCAATTTATGGCCTCACTGCCATCTCCCCCCTTCCCCTCCCCATCTGTCTTTATTCTCTTTGCAGCAGAAGACCCCCTGCTGCGCCCAGCCGGCCCACCATTATCCGCCCAGCCGAGCCATCCCTGCTCGACTAGGCTGCGGCTGCAGGGGGGTGGGGGGCGTTCTCAGGGGGGGTCTTCGCACACCCGCGGTGCAGGAGTTCCGGTGGCCTGGGCCCCTCCGCTGTCCCTGGCGCCGTCATCCACGTGCCAGGACCTGGCTCCCTGCGGGCAGCCCCTGACTCTTCCCTAACCTTGGCCCCCATCCCCGGATGCACACAGCACTGAAGGGGCCCCGGAGCCCCGGGGCAGAGGGGGAGCTGGGGCGGTGCACTTTGGGGGATGGACCTCAGAGTAGCAGAGGAGGGAACACACTCTGGGCGCCATCTCAGTGAGGCTTCAGGCTGGGGTGGGGGGCTTGCCCAGGGCTTCTCCAGCCAGGAAAGCCTGAGGAGACCGGGCCTTCTGGAAACACAGGCACCCAGAGAGCCTGTAACCCGCAGCCCTTCCTGGGGCCCAAGGAGCATGTCCGTTTCTCAGCAGCGAAGCTGGGGACAGCCGCCCCAGCCCAGCAGGCCCCAGGCTGCCCGCCCCGCCTCAGTTGTAAATATTCCTTCCTCGGCCTTCTTAACCACAGGGCCCCGCCTCGGCTGCCTGAGGTGCCTTTGCCAGGTCCGGAAGCCTCAGCCCTGCCGGCCTCGCTCTTTCCTCCCTGGGTCCCCCCCTTCCTCCTAGGACCCCGGGGAGGCTTGGGCTCAGGGCTGAGTGAGTGGGGAGGCTTTGAGGGGCTCCCGGCTCCCACCCAGGCCTCCCCGACGGGGTGGGTCCCCAGGTGGCCCATCACTGAGCAGACCTCGCTCGCTCCTCGCTCGGTTTGACCACTGTAAGTGCCTGCACTCTGTATCCTATTAATAAACTAAAATAAAGGGAAGAAGCTTCTAGCGGCTGCTGCGTGGGCCTTTTGTGTTGTCAGGCTGAGGATGTGGACTGCTCACCTTCCCCCAGCCCGGGGAAGGCCTCCCACCACGGGCTCTCATACCTCCCTCAGGGGGCTCTGCTCTTGACCAGAGTTCACTTCTTCCAGAGACAACCATGCTCTTGAGGGAAGATCTTCTGCTTCCTAACACCTCAGGAGCAGGGGCAGATGTTCCCCTCTTCCCCCCCACCCCATCACGTACTAACACAGGGGCCTGGCTGCAGCCCCCTGACGTACCGCTGGTGTGGGGACCGGGACGCACGCCTAGGGTGGGCATCAGATCACTAAGGAGAGAGGGGATTCCGGCCCTCCACCCCGAACCGCAGTGGGGAGGGCCCCCTCCCCACTGCCACGGCCCTAAGGACTCCCCCGCAGGCCCCAGGCCTTCCGGCCCAGCCCGGGTCACAGTTAAACTTTGCTTTCTGATTTTTCTCTTGTGCCCAGGAGACCACCTCCATCGGCTCCCGCCCGACCTTTCTTCTTCTGAACTTCGTGGGAGACCCCTCCCGCCTGCCTGGTTTGCCCCCTGGGGGCCGGGTCGGTCCCTGAGCCCCAATCACCAGGCTCTGTGATTTTCTGACCATAATTTATTGACTCCAGTGCCCAGGCCAGACCACCCTGTGTTCCGTGAGGCGCCTGCGCAAGGTTTGGCTGGGCCACCACCGCCCCCCACCCCCGGCTCTGCCCCGGGGCCCCCGCACAGGGAAGCAGGGGCGGGTGGTCTCGCAGTCCCTGCTCCTAGAGTTCTGTGACCGGACCTCACAGCGAGCCCCCCCTGCACTACGCTGAGGGGCTGGGCTCCTTCTCTCAATAAAGTGACTGTCCTGGCAAGAGCACTGTGTCTCCTTCCCGCCCCCCCCCAGCAGCAGCAACAGGCCTCCGGGGGGGTGACAGGGAGACCAGGGGCCCCACACACAGAAAGCCCCGTCCCAGCAGCACCTGGCTCAGGCTGCTGGGGAAGGGAAGGGAGTCTGCTTCCTGGGCCCCACCCCCACACCTAGGGCCAGTGCAGGCTGGAAGACTCAGGCTAAGGCACACACATTCACAGCAGGGGACGCACAGACCGGCCACGCCATCCAGGCACTGCATTCAAATGCCACGGTGCCCCCGTCCATGCACAGTGTCCTGGAGAGCAGGTGCCACCACTGAGCTGCCCCTCCCGGAGGGCCCGGGGCTGTCAGCCAAGCCAACAAGCGTTTCTTCCTGCCTGCCCCGCCCCCCCACTCGAAGGGAGAAGACATTGAGGGCCATACCTCCGGCCCCGACTGTACAGCCTCCCCTCCCGTAGGGGACACTCAGGTGGGGAAGGGACCCCCAAATCTCACACACATGTGCCCTGCCCTTCTCCCCATTCCTCCTTCCGGGGCTACGTAGGCACAGGGCGCTTGTCCTGGAAGAAGCGCTTGAGCGTGCAGACCTGCAGCACGGCCACCAGCAGCAGCACGGCCATGTTCACAGCAGACCAGAAGTTGACCCGTTCCAGGTTGCCTTCCTGCAGGTTGCGGTCACGTGCCTCAAAGGCCCGCAGGAGCGTCAGCATCTGGATGCTGCGCTCCAACCGTGTCTTCATGGTCTCGATGGATTCCTGTGGGGCAGAGATGGGGGCAGTGTCAGGCTTCCGCTTTTCGGGGAGCAGAGACCAATAAAACTAGGGGCCATGGGGTGAGCTGAGAGCCTGGACTGTGGCCAGGCTGCCTGGAGTCTAAATCTGCTCTCTCTATTGAGTGGCTGTGTGACCTTGAACAAGTTAATGAATCTCTCTGGGCCTCCGTTTCCTCAGAATTGCTCTGAGAGTTACATACCTACATCAGTGTAAAAAAACGTACTGAGTAGTAGTCAACAGCACAGTTGCCAAAGCCAGACTGCCTGTGGTCAAATATTGGCTTTGCCAGTTGCTAGTTGTGTGGCCTTAGCCGTCCCTGTGCCTCAGTTAAACGAGGCATTAAGAACACACTACCTACTTCATATGGAGATTTCATGAGATTATTTAAGCCCCTGAAATTCCTACACCTTAGAAACGTGCTATATTTTAACTGTGAGTTGCTACAAACATAATTAAGGTGGGGGCACCAGGGAGGCTGGGTCAGGCGAATGCGGACCCCAGCCACGGTGGAAGAACAGGGGAGCATGGTTGTCCAAAGCCACAGATCTGGCGAGTGGCCCCAGTTCACCCTGGGCGCACCTTGATGTCCTCCATCTTGACATCCAGCATTTCCTCGGGCTCCACGGCCTCTGCCCAGCCTTCAACCTCCTCGTCGTCCTGCAGGCTGTCAAAAATGAGTTCGAAGAACACCAGCTTCTCTGAGATGGTGCTGAAGGAGTTGTCAAAGCACAGCTTGTAGTCCCCGGCCTCCGTGGGCTCCACCCTGGAAGAAAGACACACAGACACACATGACCCTGAGTGGCCCACCAGCCGGACACTGAGAGGCAGGGAAGGTGGTAACCTGAGGCCACTGCAGAGGGGCAGGGCTGAAACCGAACCCAGGCTGACAGTGGGGCTGAACTCACGTGTGCACCCCATCTGCCTTGCGGGACTCGCTGACCAGCAGCACGCCCTGAGGGCTCTCCAGGGTGAAATCCACGTCCAGTCCAGCACCTCCAATCACCTGGGAGGAGAGGTAAGAGAAGTTGGAGGGCTGGGGTAGGCCAAGGGCAGCTGCCAGGGAAAGCCAGACATACATACAGATCATCAGAGGCCCACCAGAGCGCAGACGTCTACACTTGCAACCTGCTCCTGCCTCACCTGTCCCTGTGACCGCGCCCCTGGCTTTGGCTCTGTCTTCATTGATATGACAGCTTTGGTTTGGCTCTTTGATCTAGTCTCTCCCCCGTCGTAAGTCCTTGATCGACGTTTACCTGGCCACACCCCAATGAGGGTAACGGGGCCCTGCTTTCCTTAACCCAACCCCAGAGAAATCCTCATGTTCACCAAGCCCTTTCTTCTGGCGCATCTTGGTCACACCCACCGACTCCGGCGGTCGCACAACTCTCGGCCACGCCCATTCGGGAGGTTCCCGCCCCGTGAAAGGCTCCCAGTTATAACTCATGCCCCGCCCCTTCTGGGCGTCTCACTCTAACCCCGCCTCCTGCTATTATTCCCACCCGCTCCGCTCCTACGCGCGGTCTCCATCAGCTCCCGCTCGCTCTCCCTGGCTCCGCCCCCGCGCTCTTACGCACGGGCTCCTCCCCCTCCCTCTAATGCATGCCTCGCTTCAGCTGCCTGGCCACGCCCACTCGCCCAGGCTCCTCTCTTTTGCTGGCTTCCCCAGCCCGCGACCCTCTACCTGGTATTCGGTCTCGAGGCTTGCGTTGGCCGGTGCAGACTGATAGAAACACTGTTTCCTCCCCGCAGGCAGCAGGAACGTGAACTCGCCGTCCTGGATCGGCGGTGGCCCTGCCCCTCCCACCCCCACCGGCGGCAGTAGTAGCCACAGTGCCAAGGCTAGGGCCGCTCCGGCCGCCATCATCCGGGTCACCCTCCAGTCTGCTATGAGGTCGCGGTTCCTTTAAGGGCTAGCCCTGCCCCCTCTGCTACTCGGCGGAGCTCATTGGCAGCCGCTTCGTGAAACCAGCAGGGAGGAAGACGAAGGGCCCCCTGAGAGCTTAGCTGCCCGAAGGGGTGCCTGATGTGATAGCAACACTCGATCTTCGGGAGGATTTTTTTTTTCGGAGGGGCCTCCGGTTGTAATCTCAACCGATGATGGGGAGGGGGGATGACAAAAATAAGTACTATGGTGCATCTTTCTCAGGCAAAAGTTAAGACAACTAAGTCGGAGGCGCGTCGCGACCTTCTAAGGCCCCCTCCCTGCGGTTTTCCCAGAGTAAACTGCGCGCTACGACCGTTTAGCGGTGCTGTCTGCGTGGAATGGATCCGTAGGGCTCACGTATAAACTAGTTGAACTGGGGGCGCGAAGGAGACCTTTTAGTGTTGGTGTGGGCTCCGTGTCGCCGGTGCGGCCTGACCCTTTATTCCTTAGATCTGTCGCTTTGTCAGTTTCCTCGTCTGTGGTGGGTGTGATGGAGCGACCACCCCCTACGGCGGCTGTCGGAGTTGAGATGAAGCCTTGCGCGAACGTTCCGTTTCTCCTTGCGTAGAGTCAGTACGGGGGCCCAGCCCCTGCACACCAAGGGTCTCAAACTCGGGGGGCCGGCAGGTAAACAGAGTAATCGAAGTGGCCCAGGGCACGAAAGACGATGGCCAGATTGCGTAAGAGTCAGAGAAGAGAATGTGGGGCTGGGAGCCACGAAAGCTAGTTCCAACCACCCCCGACCCTTGGCTTGAAGAAAGCGCCCTGCTGGGCCTCAGTATCCTCATCCGTGAAATGGGGGGGGGGGGGTGATAGTCGTGCTGCCTCCCTGGGCTGTTGTGAAGATTAAATGAGAGAAGGCTTGTTTAGCGCTTAGCACGTTATGGGCCCTTGGTAAATACTACGTTATTTTCCAGGCTTCTTGCCCACCGTGTAACCCCTTCTCCCTGTCTGGCTTAGAGTGTTTGGAGGCGATGTCCCTCTGGGAAGCCGCCAGATGACCAAAGACGTCAGTGTAGAAACGGACACTGATTGGTGATTCTGTCTAGTTAAAAAAAAGAAAATGTTCAGATGGAAATTTTGAGGCTTTAAAGACAGGCTTTGGAGTGGTTGGCATTTGGTGACACTTACTCTTCAAATACAGCTGGTGGCCGTCCTCACCTGCTCTTGGAGAAGTTGGGGAAGTAACGCCACGTTGTTATGTCAAAGTTCATGGACAGTCATTATTAGTCCCCCAATTTTCTGTCATGCAGACTCGCTGCTCGGACATTTTGAAGTAGTTGTGGAGAATGGGTGATTGTTTTGTTTTTAAGTTTATTTATTTTGAGAGAGAGGATGGGGAGGGGCAGGGAGGGAGAGAGAGAATCTTGAGCAGGCTCCGTGCGGTCAGCACAGAGCCCGATGGGAGGCTCAGTCCCACGTGAGCCAGAATCAGGAGTCAGACGCTCAACTGACTGAGCCACCCAGGCAATCCTAAAATTAATGATTTTAGAGTGAATACTTCTACACATTTATTACATTCACAGTGTTGTGTAGCTGTCACTCTACTTTCAAAACATTTTCATCAGCCCCAAAATAAACCCTGTACCCATTAAACCTGTACCGCATTCCCCTCCCCCCTTGTGGCAATTTCCAACGTGCCTCTATGAATTTGCCAATTCTGGATGTTTCATATAAGTGAAATATCTGACCATTTATGTCTGGCTTCTTTCACTTAGCATAATGGAGTTTCATCCTCCTAGCATGAATGAGTATTTATTTCATTGTAATGGCTGAGTAATAATCCGTTGCATAGATCTACCACATTTATCCGTTCAGCCATTGATGGGCATTGGGGTTGCCCCATCTTTTGGACATTGTGAATAGTGCTGCTATGAACGTGTGTATGTGTATTTGTTTGAGAATCTATTTTCAGTTTTATACACCTAGGAGTGGAATTGCTGGCCATAGGATAACTCTATGTTTAACTTTTTCTTTTCTTTTCTTTTCTTTCTTTCTTTCTTTCTTTCTTTCTTTCTTTTCTTTTCTTTTCTTTTCCTTTCTTCTTTCTTTCCTTCCTTCCTTCCTTCCTTCTTTCCTTCCTTCCTTCCTTCCTTCTTTCCTTCCTTCCTTCCTTCCTTCCTTCCTTCCTTCCTTCCTTCCTTCCTTCCTTCCTTTTTTCTTTTCTAAGCAGAGCCTGAGACAAGGATTCAGGCACAGATGCTTCCATTCTTTTTAAATGTTTATTTATTCTTTGAAAGAGAGAGCAGGAGTGGGGGAGGGGCAGAGAGAGGGAGACAGAATCCCAAGCAGGCTCCAGGCTCTAACCTGTCAACACAGAGCCTGATGCAGGACTCGAACCCGCAAACTGCGAGATCATGACCTGAACCAAAGTTGATCATTTAACCAACTGAGCCATCCAGGTGCCCCTCTATGTTGAGCTTTTTGAGGAACTCCCAGACTGTTTTCCACAGTGGTTGCTCCATTTTATATTCCCACCAACCATGTATGAAGGCTCCAATTTCTCCACACCTTCAGCAACACTTGTTATTTTCTGTTTTATTTTCTTTTTTTAATGTGTTTTTTTTTTTTTTAATTTCTGAGAGAGAGAGCATGAGGAGGGGAGGGTCAGAGAGAGGGAGACACAGAATCTGAAACAGCCTCCAGGCTCTGAACTAGCTGTCAGCACAGAGCCCAACGTGGGGCTTGAACCCACGAACCGTGAGATCATGACCTGAGCCGAAGTCGGACGCTTAACCAACTGAGCCACCCAGGCACCCCTTCTCCAATCTTTTCTGAGCACTTCTGCCCTGGGCATGGGCATTGCTTTCTAAATCCCTTGGGATATGTGGGTGCTTCTCTTTTTTTTTTTTTTTTTTAATGTTTTATTTATTTCTAGGAG